CAAAAGTAGTACCGAGTAAAACTATCAGTATTATTTTTATCAACCCACCCCCTCTATTACTCATTTAAAAGACCACCATCATAGTAATAAATCTGATATTTTACTACAGAGTATAAATAATATTTCACCTCATCAACACTATGATTCTTATTTTTTTTACTTGTCCAGTTTAACTACGTTTTATTTCTCATATAAACCTCCAGAATACATTATTGTATTCTGATGGGTTAAATAATTTGAGGTAATTGTCACGAAAAACTGAACATAGATTTTATTCTAGTTGATACTTGCCAACAACGTGTATTTTGAATCGTGAAGAGACTGATGCGGCATGTGAAGTTCAAACTCGCTTCAATCAGTTGCACAGCCAGACAGATATTACTGTTGAGCTTTTCGAATGACTACTACTATCTTAATGTAGGATTGACATTTTTTACATAGACTGATCAATGAGGAGTAATATTGATAAATAAAATTCCATCAGGACAAAGGACTAGACAAACACATTTTTAATTTACTACTCAATGATCAGTCAGTGTACTATGCAATTTGTAAAGGCTTTTTACATGAAAGAGAGTCACATAACTAAAATTATGTTGCAAATAATCCTTAAGTTGATAATTTAATTGCTCAGTGTTTGTTTAAAGTATTGGTTTTCTTATAACGATGATTGACTGTAAGATAGTTCTACTAACCAGTAAAACTCAAGTGGTACTAAAAAATAAACGATTATGTATAATAAAGAAGTTATTTCTCTCTAGCTTGCCATAACATTTGACGGTTGTGTTCATTTGAATATAAGTGTATGACTTGTTTCGCATACAATTCCACTAACCTTTTAAAACGTTATTCTGGGTTTAAATAAATAAATGAGTACTCCTTCAGATCTTAAAGAAAATGTTATCTTTTCACTCTGTGAAGTAGTTAATACAATAAAAATACTGAGGTTTCACGTAACACTAACAACTTCTCGTGGATGATTCAAACATAAATGAAAAATATACGAGATCTAATGTGTATGGATGACCTTGTTTATAATATGATCAAATCGAATAAATAAATTAAGCAGTCAATCTCGTTTGTTCTTAGATGTCTGTTAGTTAACACTTATGTTATGCATTTCAGATGGAGAATGTGATTCAATAACATGAAATATGGTGTTGATAAATGTGTTACATTTTTCAAAAACATAAATACAACTTACATGCTTCTATATCAACCAATTTTATTACGATTTAATCTTATTTAAGAAATGTTTTACGAATTTAGTGTCTGCATATAAGAAAGTATGTTATATCGCTGAAAAGAAAGTTAGTTAGTTCGTTAGTTAGTTTAAAAAAGCATCTCATTTTTCAACAACCTGAAACTATGTCAGCTTATTTTACATGAGTAAATGTAACATGGTATAGCGTTTTCATGTACCAATAAGTATAGAAATCCATATATACATGGAATTATTGATGAATATGGAAACATCACATTTCATTGTGTACAATCCATACTAAAATACACACATGAATTATGATTAGTTAATAATAGAAAAAAAACAAGAAAAGTTCTGAAATTTTTTTTTCTAATTTTCTACCTCTTTTCCAATTGTTTTGTTTATTGTGTTCATAACAATTACTATTTCACTGTTAATCTCTACTCGTGTCAGTATGTTCAGACAATAAAATACTGTACACCCGTCATTTTTTTTTAAAAAGAAAAAATCAATATACTCAAATATATTGTGTCATGGTAACAATTGTAGATCGTACTGTTTACTTATCAACATGTGTGTTTGCCATTGTAAGTGAATAATTAAATTGTTGATACTGTTACTGGAGCCATCATTATAAAAGTCATTATTTTATATAAGATAAAGAATTTAAAGCTTAGTCATGGCTTAGAAATTAAATTTATAATAATCCTTATAAAAGCTTTTTTCGCTTGTAATTATTACATAGTTGTCTGGAGTATTTTTAAAGAAAAAAGAGGCTTTATACAAGTTATTTTAACTTTAATTGATTGGTTGTTAAGGGTTTATTCAATAGCTTATTTATCATTGTTAAGATTTAATTGAATCCCATTGGTCATATATTTCAATTTATTAACTTATCTACCTAAGTATTACTCTAAATAATTAAAAGATTGAAGTTTATGTAATTCAATCACAACAATTAGCAATATAATTCACTTGGTATTGTTTTACTTGAATCTTCCCATTGATGTTTTAAGACTGATATTGATCAGTCTCTTATTGGCATATGTGCATACTGTGCGTATGCCTCGATATTGCCTTAATTTACAAGCATTATAAACAAAGATGGATTGTGGCTAGCAGTGGAATCCAGGACGCGCGTTTCGTCCTGTTTGGGACTCGTCAGCTGGATGTACCTGCATCTCAGAGTTGATGTTCACTCTGGAATCATATAGAGTTAAAATATCCTGTCAGTGTACAAGATTCACTCAAAAGTTTTGTTCTAAATGTTTCCTCATAGTTGCTAACTTGTATAAAAACTGATTTTTATATGTACTATTGGTTTCCTTAAAAATATAAAGTATTAATCTGATTATCAAATTATTGTTGTAACAACAACCAAAAAAAAACCAATTTCGAAAAATTCAATAATGATTATTAATAATGACAAGATACAACTCTTTACTGCTTAAAGTATTTTAATTATTGTTCAGTATATAATGTGTCCAGCTGCTTGTATCTAATGATCATAAGCATTGTTCAATGAAATTAAAGAAATATTTATTACTATTAAATGGGTTTTATGGATATTATAGTAATTTCAGTGGTTAAGATCATGAGTCAGTTGAAGCTAGACCACCATGGAAAACCTGGAAGAACTGGACGGCCATTTCGTCCCATTATGGGACTCCTCAGCAGTGCGCATCCACGACCCCGCCCCCTGCGAGATTCGAAACCAGGACCTACTGATTTCGCGCGCGAGCACTCAACCACTAGAGCACTAAGCCGGCATCCAACGATGGTAATGTCTAACTTCATCTGATTCATGATCTTAACCATTGAAATTACTATATTATCCACAGAACCCATCTGATATTAATCAACATATGTTCACTAGTGACTGGCCTCACGAGGTATGTCCTGGAGTTCTAGTGAGAAGTGGTGACCAGTGAAGTTGTGAGATAGTAACTCACTGATGACAATGGTAGATGTGTCGCTCAATTTTGTGGATTAAGTGAAGTTAGACATTAACACTGTTGGATAACGGTCGGCTCAGTGGTTTAGTTGGTTGAGTGCCTGGTGCGAGGCTGATAGGTCCTGGGTTCGAATCCCGCAAGGGGGCGGGATCGTGGATGCGCACTGCTGAGGAGTCCCACACTGGGACGAAATGGCCGTCTAGTGCTTCCAGGTTTTCCATAGTGGTCTAGTTTCAACTGACTCATGATCCTAACTATTGAAATATTTATTACTTACTTTTTGATAAGTAGAAACTTACTTATGTTTTGGAGTTTACTCTATCAATGAAATAAAACATTTGACATTTTAACTATCTAGTTGCAAGTTCTACTTTGATTTGGTAACTCTTCTAACTTTTTACATACAACGTTTTTCTCTTAATATAATAATATATTCTGAAAATAAAAGTTACAGAATTCATGCCAGGTTACAAGCATGATCGATTTGATATAAATAGTAATATTGAATATAGAAAATAAATATGTGATATAAGATTGTTTAAGTTTACTAGTTCAAAAATTGTTTAAATAGTACATTTATGACATGTATTACAGCAATGCAACACAATGCATTAGATGGGAACTTTTAATTCTTCTTAAGTGGATATCTTTTTGATTTATGAACGGCGCATTTAAGGTCATTTCCTGTGCCAGAACTAATTAATGATAATTATCTACAATAACCATTTCAAAAATTAAATGAATGATTTTTGATAAATATAAAATTAATATATAACTTCATTATGTTCACTGATTTATTGAATCTTACTAGTATAGGGGTTGTGGAGATTATTAAGTTTTTGATTAAAATCATGAACCGATTGGTGTTAGACCGCCTTTGGAAACCTGGAGGCACTGGACGGCCGTTTCGTCCTATTGTGGGACTCCTCAGCAGTGCGCATCCACGATCCCGCTCACGGGATTCGAACCCATGGCCTTCGGTCTCGTGCAAACCTATGTAAAGAAACTACTTTTAATCTATTAATGTTTTATACAATGCATAATTGATTTTATTGACTTTATTTAGAGTATGTTTAGTTGTTTCATTTAACATTTTGTTTTAGGATTTTGTCATTTCATTGTATATTTTCAGTGTTTGGTAATATATTATGTAATATGATTACCAGGCTATTTTTTTGATTAAATTTACCTGAATAATTCACTGATTGTATATTTTCTACTTAACGTGCATATTACATTTTTCTCTTTGAAGGAATCTTAGAGGTCCCTTTGGTTGAGTTGTTTCTGACTTCAGTAAGAATAGATATATGCTTGAAAAAAATATAAGTTCCAATTCAAATATGTGTTCCTTTACTGATGCTCAAAGATGAATGATAGTTATGGAAAAATGTATCCATAGCTAAAATACAACTCCTTGAATATAGAAGATAAAAGGTTTATTTGATATACAAAAGGTTGATTAAGAATAATATTTCAGCACGCTCATTTCTTTGCATTATCTATTAATGGAAATTGAATATATATATCACTTAAACAAATGCTATAATCAACTAGTCCGTAAATCAAATAGCCAGAATATAGTTGAATATCATACTGAATTAGCGTCATAAAGAATTAACTCATAGTCTCATGCTTGATTTGCCAACAAAACATTGAGCAAATATTTTGGGATATTCTTTTAAAATCATCGGATAAAATCACTGTTCGTTTTTCATAAGATAACACTGACCTCCTGAAACCAAACTACGTATTTATTTTATTGGAAAAGTTCAGTTTATCGTTTTAATGACAATTTATTTCACGAAACTCTCATCGTTGTTTTTACTATATATTTCTTTCAGAAATTCATGGCTTTGAAATAGGTAAAACAGATTTTAAACCAGAGTTGAAAGCGAATCATGGTCCGAATTTTACTCAAATTACATGTCGTATAAATCATCCGAAACCAAATGCAGAAGTCTACTTGACATGTCCTGCCTTAGGAGAAAGTACAACACATGAAAATTGTTACCAAGGCTGTCAACCGACCAATCCTTGCACTCACTCAACACAGTATCAGTCTGGATGTGTACCACATGACCAAACAGTATTTTGTCAGAAAATTGAATTTCCTAATGGTACTGTTGTATTGAATTTGAACGTGGATCGAACTGACAAACGACTGGCAGGTTTATGGTCTTGTACACATGCTGGTCTGGAAAGTACCAGGTTTGAGGTAAGATATTTTGGTATGTCAGCTTTATGAATGCTAATTGAATAGGAATACACAATTTACTTTATGGTATACGATGTACGGTAATGCATGGAAGCATATTATGATAATTGAATCACACAAATATCATTCGATTTCTAAAATTTCACTCGATTAACGACCTAACATATTCATGCTGAGTAGCGACTATCTATCATTTCATAAATTTCACCAAACACTTGTAATCCGTGAGAACATTCATCTCTTATTTAAATGAAGTGAAAAAGACTACTTGAGTTGTTTCCCAACCAAATTTACAAACAAACCTTTATTAAAAGATTAGGAACAATAATTTAATGAAAATACATAACAAATGTTGGTAAAATAAATAAAGTTATCATTTGTACTTTAACACATATTGCAACAACTAACCCTTATTACTAATTAAACAGATCAAACTGAAAACATCGTGAAAGCTATTAAATGTCATATTAAAAAGACTTTCTACATCTTATTTATATTTATATTTAATGTCTAAGCATAATATTAGGCCGATAGTGTTACTTTATGGAAGGTTTTAACCTTCACCTAACTATACACCGTAACCATAAATCTTATCTTCATTTTTTGTCTAACGAGCAACTTCTCTAGGTATCCCTTACTATAGACGGACACTAGTTGAGAATTTATTGAAAAATATAGAGCTTGAGCATCCGTTTCATTTTATTGTGCAAATCCATAACAATAAATGTTCATCAATTTCCATAACACTAAACTCAACACTACATGGGTCTCGTCTCGAAACTCATAATAAAACAAAGTTCTGTAGCGCATTTTTTAAATTGTAACCACTATTTTAATATAGTATGATTTTGATTCCACGTCTAATTCCTGACTTAAAGTCAACTAAATCACTTATTCTAAAACTTTATTGATGAGGAGAGTTGTCTCCATAACTAAGCATAACTTCCATAAGACATTCAGCTCAATAATCACCTTCAACTTGATTTTTCACATTAATGATACTTCTATGATTTATCAAATCAAATCAGATTTAGTAACTTTAATTGTGTATAAGTTTTGCATTAGAAATGTTATCAGCTTTGATGTGAATTATTAGATGAGTTCGATTCTTTTATGCTATGAGCATCATTTTAAATGTTATTATTGCAAACTTTTCGAGAATTTAAATAAGAAATATAAATGAGACAAACTAAGTTACTTCATCATAGAAAACAGACAAGGAATTCTTTGTTTATTGATTGATTTGAAGAATTATTATGAAATTTAGAGACCCATAATGTTTCAGTTTGGAAACTCGTGTTTAAAATTATAAGTCGTGGTTCGTATGTGAAAATCTAATATTGAGAAACAGGAGTAGTTAGTCATGACTTTTAACTATCAACAGATTGATTAACAAATTTAAACCGATGTCTTCTGAACACTGAAGAGATCAACATTTGGATAAACAGATTTCTATACATGTTTCCATTCACGTTCTATGCTGAAGGTAATGAAGGATATTTCTAGCCGGATAATGTACATGAAAATATAAGTATCAAACTATGCGTTACAGCTATGAATATAAATGATATGGTATCGCTCTCTATAGAATGTAAACCCAATGAAGCTTTCTACATAAACTGATATAATCTGGAGAACAATTAAAGTTTGATTCTGGCTCTTGATATAATCGTATCTAGTCATTTTGCGGAAAAATTTGATCCACTCCATTATGTTATAAATCATACTACCATATCAGAATATTAACCAAATTATTCAATATCCCAATGCTTAATAAGTTATGAACACTATACACATTTATTTATAAAAAACGTTGTTCCGCATGTTGGAATAACCTGATACCAAAAGAGAACAACTTTAATTGAACTTCACCTAGTGTTGTTTTACTTGTATCTTACCATTGTTAATTAGGACTGCAATTGGTCAGTCTCTTGTTGGCATATGTGCATCCTGTGCGGATTCCCTCTATATAGTGTTAAGTCACAAGCTTTTTAAGCAGAGATGCATAGTGGCTAGCAGTGGAATCCAGTTTGACGCGTCTTTTGTCCTATTTGGGACTCGTCAGTTGGATATACCTGCCCCGAGTTTATGTTCGCCCCGGGACTCAAACCCAGTACCATTCGCTTCAAATGCCGTCACGTTATTCAGGTACGTCCAGTTGACGATTCCCAAATAGGACAGGTCCTTCGTCCTGGATTCCACTGCTAACCACTATCCGTCTTTGTTTAATTTAACTGTTACATATTATTTAAATGTATAATTCATGAATTTAAGAGTGTTTATTAGAAATCATTTTAAATTTATTTTGTTTTCCTTGTTTAAAATCACAGATAGAATTAAAAAGTTATTCAATTATGAATGAAATTAATCCACTTTCAAAACCTGTGGTAAAACAAGAGAAACATGACTCAGGTACAAGTGAGTTCAACTGACTAATTATCAATTTTTGTTAAGTTAATTAGAAATTACTATCCCCAAAGTAATTGAACTTGAAATTTACAATTAATTTAAATAAAATTATAAATATTAACCTGAATTATGCCCAAACCCTTTAATACTAGGGAAAGAAAACAGTCGAAATAAGGTAAAAAAAATTTCTAGATTACAGTCACTTTAAACTTTCCAAACTAAAGTTAACCAACAATTGCCAATGAAAATCACCCTTTATATAATCAGTTTAAGCATAAGTGATAAACCTCCTAGTTCATTGAGTTGATGCAAAGTGGTTGAAGTTAAGAACATATGTCACTGTAACCCAAGTCAATATCTCCATACTAAATCATACTCCAAAAAACTTCCAGATATAGGCTTATATTCTAGGATAATTTGAATATGCACATTACAATGTAGATTTAAAGTATCATCAGATAACTGCTGAGTAGCACTTTATTATCAGTAGCGGTTGAATTAATGATGATCTGGGACAATTTTATTTTTATTTTATTTTAACACATAGATATTGGTACTAGGAGGTACCAAATACATATGCGCCACACAAATCTCATTTGATATGTGTGAGGGCTGTGATACTGCCCGGGTGCCCAAACCGACTATTCAATGAGTACTTATGTCCAATGTGTAGATATTATCATCTTCGATTGAGATCATGAACCGATCAACGTTAGACTATCATTGAAAACCTGGAAGCATTGAGATGCCTTTTCGTCTTGGTATTGAACTCCTCATCATCACACACACGGTACTCGTACGCATGGTCTCAACTAGAACTTAACGATCTCCACAAACCTATTTTGATAATTTTCATTTTCAATGTTGTTGACTCTGTTATTATCCTTGCAAACAATAAAGGCATTATGTGTATACTGACTGAATCCATCAGACAAGATCAAACCTATATACTCTTAGAATAGTGTGAAAAAGAACAAGCTAAAAACATACCCATAAATCAGTTGTCCTGGTATTTTTATAGAGGAACACACGTCTAAATGTGAAGAAGAAGAAGAAATGGTCACTTTGAACAAAATATGAAAAGTTAACATAACCAGATACTTTTTAAATAAGTTCGTCTATTAAAATGCTTCAGAACGCAGTCAGCTAGACTAGTTTATAAGGTTTGTGCTGACTAGAGAATCATAGGTTTGTTGTCGATATATAGTTTGACTGATTTTATAAAGTTAATTACGCACTCAGAGGACATTATTTCATATATTCGTGAATACATACTACCATAATTGTCAAAAAAATTAAATATATAAATAGCACAGTCTTTTCTCACATATTTGATGTTGAGCATACCTCAAATCTAGAGGAATTATTGTCATATATAAAAACTTTTGTCTAAATTTGATCGAATAGTTTCACAGTGTTTGGGCGCCGAGTTGATGTGAGACATTAAAGAGGAAGAATATATTTGTCAAATTTCAGCTAATGAATTTGAAGAAAATCCAACTTATTTATGCACACAATCTGTCATCTCAACACTTTTCTTTTCACACCACATGCCACTTACACACTACTTTAAACATTGTTAACGTTGATTGAATGACCAATTCAGTATACAGTGAACTGGAGAACCATGTACCTATTTATATTTGATAATTTTGATGTTTGATTATATTTCCTTGAAAAAGCTTGGACCAGATTGCCAGGCAAAACGTTGGATTTACTTCAAATTCATTCGCTGAGATTTTACAAATACATTCTTCCTCTTTAATTATTGTCATTTCTATAATAAATTTCGAATAGTTTACGAAAGATTTACAGTAATTTCTCTTATAAGTTATAACTTTCATGAGGATCCCTGATATATGTCCAATATAGTAGATTTAGACACTTTGGTTCGCAATACGATAGTCCTACTTCTAGTCAAATTGGTTACTTCCATTTCACGGTATATATCCTTATACAAGACCCCTTTTATTTTCTTCACTAACCTTCCGTCATCTTATGAAATAATCTTAATATCCATTGATATTATTATTACAGTTGATCACTTGATGTGAATATGATAATTTAACGTTAAAACTGAACAGTTAATGAGTCAATTTTCATTTCTTTTCTTCTTCTTATCATTTAAAGCCCGAGAACTAACTGATTCATCCATAAATTGATCATTATAAAAAGTGAGATTTGACCTGATAAGTAGTTATCTTATTTACTAATACCCATCGTATTTTTCATTTCAACTGCTTTAATCTGACTAATTCTTAGTTACATTTTATTTTTATTTTACAAGACAAATGGTATACACTAACTAAACTTACTTGTTTACTGATCTGCATAACATTGGTGTAGATTATTAACAAAACAAAACTAGACATTGTGAAATGTTTATGATATGTGAATCAAGATCATTGTGTTGTCTAGATTTGAGTTCAACACAATTTGAAAAAAAAACTAGTTGAAAATGTCTGTTAAAATAATTGGAATAACATTGAATTCTTCCTTCGTGATTATTGGTCAATTTTTAGTCATATAGGTGATCAATGCCAAAATTTATCATAGAGTAAAAGACAGAATTTTAATTCATTTCTCATAGTAACGTGTTTTAAGATTTTCTTAAATATTCATTAAACAATTCAATTAGAGACGATCGCCTTATAAATCTCTTGATAAGATGGTGGTTGGAGGTAGTCAACAGGAAACCCTGAACCTAGGTTTCGTGCTACTTGGCATCCGTCAGCAAGGTATACCTATAATCTTGAGGAAACTGATACTCCCTGACGGATTCGATCCCGTGTCACATAGCTTCACAGTTAGAGACGTTACCACTGGTACAGGGTTACTGTTAACTACCTCCAACCACTATCTTATCTCAACAATAGTACATGCACTGTCAAGTCAACTAGACTAGTGGACAAATTTCAACTTGGTTGATAGAATGAGATCTACATTAAGAAGAATCTAACATACATGGTATTGATCACTACCCAATGATCAATCAATTGTGAAACCTCTTGATTTTAAACACATCCATAATCATGTGATTTTTTTCATTCAGAATAATACTATATATTTATGATGGCAAGAATAATAAAGATTTTATAGCTAAAAATATGAACTTCATTTAGTAAAACAATATCACCACTAATAACGATTAAATCGAGAACATTACAATTCATCAGTTAATCTATTAGGACAGCACATATAAGCGAACAATATTATCTTCAAGTAGATCATCGTCATGGTTTGTACTAATAAACACGAATGTTTATGAGTATATGAAAACAATATATAGATCAGAGCAGTTTATGAGACGTTAATCAAAATGAACTAAATTGCATAACTACACTTTAAAATCAGAAAGTACAAATTAATAGTAAAAGGACAAGTGTACTATTTGTGATAGTAACAAAAAAATAATCAATAGGTCAACATTGGAAGTAGGTCAAACTTGGATAAAAAAATTATCTAAAATTAAGTATTTGATTGAGATCATGAACCGATTGATGTTAGACCATCACAGTTGAAAACCTGGAAGCACTGGATGGCCGTCTCGTCTTATTGTGGGACTCAGCCGTGCGCATCCACGATCCGGCGAGTGAGATTCGAACCCAGGGCCTTCGGTCTCGCGCGCGAACGCTTAATCAACTGGACCACTGAGCCGGCATCCAATGGTGATAGTTTCTAACATCAACTAAATTAAGTAATAAAAAGTGTGTACATAATCAGACGGTGGGAAATATAGACGAAGTTGGCAAAGAGTGACAAATAAATATAATATATGAACAAATCAATAAAACCGTTTAATAGATCATATCCAGCCAAAGAATAGACCGTGCTGTCAAGAATTTCTTTTAAATACATAAACAAGGGTTATGTGGTTCGGATTCCTATAGCTCCTGATACCTGTAGGAGCCGAGAGCGAACAGCATTGGGAAGTGACTATGGTGTGAGATAAATCACTCAAAATGATTCACTCATATCAACCATCTGGCCACCGTCAACCGGGTGTCCCAAGATAGAGTTACATACTGTTTTCATTATACCCTTTCCGAAACGAGCTGGAAGATGTCCACTCACCCATCAGTTAAGTTCCCTGGTAATACCCCCAATATAGCTGTCTCCACTGGAGCATCGTAAGAGGCAGACCGAGGTAACTGAGCTTTTAGTTGAGTAGATATCACTGGTCTACTAAGTAATCTCAATGTAAGACTAATGTCGTCACTAAATTACTAAGCAGCGGAATTCCCGCTGAATTGTAGTTTTAGGAAAACGGTTTTCTTACAAGCGGTTCATATCTTAAACTTTTTGAAGAAATTTTCGTACAGTCAATTTCCGTAAATATTTCATTGACAAAGGCAGACTGTTTCACTCTCGGTAGATTCCTTTTGTAGTAGATGGGTGTTAAAATACAGAAGTGTGTGTACTGACTAGCAAAGGAGCTCTTTCTATACACGCTTCTGCGTACACCTATCCCTTTACCATTAATTTGTACTTTTTGATTATAAAGTGTAGTTATGCAATGTGGTTCATTTTGGTTAACGTTTCATAAATTGTTTTGACCTATTTAACGTTTTCATATATTCATATAAACATTCGTGTTTATTGGTGTAAATCCTAATGATGATCCACTTGACAACAATATTGTTCGCTTTTATTTGTTAAATTTTCACAGAGGGGATAATTAATATTTCAAAATTAATTGACTACCTATTGGTAGAAGACAAATATAGGACATCTTAAATTTCAGAACAAATATGTGTCTAGTAAAATACGCAACCGCTGTGTTGCATATCGTAAATGGATTCAATTATACCACATATCTTAATTTAATTGATTTAAGATAAGTGAGTATAATACCTGTCTTGTTCCTGAATTCGAGTTGGTGATGGTTGCTTACTATTTTAATAACTTATTGAGATACATTTAGAATTTCCTTGAATTAAAATCCAGACTCTCTTATCCTAAATCAGTTAAATTATGTAAAAATATGTGGTTTAATATCAGAAGGGGTTTTGAGGATATTTTAATAATTTTAATAGTTGATATCATGAGTCAATTGAAGCTAGACCATCATGGAATACCTGGAAGCACTGGACGGCCTTTTCGCCCTATTTTGGGACCCCCCAGCAGTGCGCATCCATGACCCCGCCTCATGAGATTCCAACCCAGGACCTATCAGTCACGCACTCAAGCGCCTAACCATTAAAGAACAGTGCCGGCATCCAACGGTGTTAATGTCTAACTTCAACTAACCCACGAGATCGTGGATGCGCACTGCTGGGGAGTCCCACAACATTACTAAACAGCCGTCCAGTGCTTCCAGGTTTTCCATGGTGATCTAGCTTCATTTGACTCATGATTTCAACTATTAAAATATTTAGTTTAATTGAACATATTTACAATATGCAACCCAGCATTTACGTGTTTTACTAGACGATAATAATTAAATAGGCTAATTATAGCCTACTAATAATCTATTATATGTATTTTGTCCAATTTTTTCATTGTGATCTTATATTCATTATCACTTGGCAAATAGAGTTGTGAAAATCGGGTTTTTCTATTAGATGTTTTTAATATATTCAGATAAAAGTATACATTGAGTCTAACTTGGTGATATCCGAGACCATAATAGCACAGAAGTTATTTTCTTAAACCGATAAGAGTATGGAAAATTTTCGACTTATGACAAATCTATCATGAAAACCAAATTTACGAAATATGACGCTGAAATTTAACTGATTATTTGCTGTTGAATGATTGCGCTGAGACCAACTTACTTTCAAGGGTATTGAAGATTATGAGATTTATTTTTGCAAATGTTTCACCATGGATAACTTGTTATTCAAAACGTTTTTATTTCCTCCCTTCACTCATTCCGCATTCTTTTTTGATATTTTAATCATTACTGGAATTATCACTGTTCTTCATCATATTTCTTCGTCATCTTTTCCTTTTTTAGTCCAGAATGGAATCACCTACACTGATGTATTATTTCTACAATTTCTAAACTGTTTTTATAAGTTTGTCTACCCAACTACAGTCAAATGGTTTCGTGGAGACTTAAGTTTATTTTATCACAAACCATTAAGAATCAGGAAACAAGGAACAGTTGCCCTTTCTTGGCTCGAAACGTATTGGCATTGTCTACTAACGACGTTATAAAACTCACGACATGTATGTCCCACAGTAGACAGGAAAAATTATGACTCCTGACCCAGAATTCAGTAATTTACATCTTCATTGTTAATTAATGTGTAAATTAGTGCAATTTCTGCTTATTTTACTGATAATTTGCATCTCATTAAAACTTTGAGAGGATCATCTTCAAACTACCTGGTAAAGAGTGCATGATTATATTTTAGAGATTTGGTTTGATGTAATGCATTGTATATTGTGACTTTAATGATCAAATAGTAGTGTTCATAAATACAAATAGCGAAATGCGACAAAATACAATCCCTAATGTTGCAACACTTTTAATAGTTAAAATGGCCATTAGTAATAACCTTAGCACTCTCTGATATCAAATTACAGGAATTGCACTTTAAATACCTATTAACTGAAACACCCTAAGTTCAACAGTTTACTATACCATTATTTAGTTCGTTTCAGCGAAGCATCCTTTCAATTTTTTAGCACTTATTCTTCATTTAAACTTCAAAGTAAGTACAATAAGTTGTCTTTCGTGTTCACATTGGGAATGGATGACTGACATACTATATTGCGCTATTGTTTACCTACTTAGTGGTCTGAAGTTAGTGTGTTCATCTATAAGTTATTGGTATTTATAATGAAGTAACCTGGATTGATATAAACATAGGAATTATGAGGTTATCTGAACTAAGATTATGGTATCAGACGACAAACAATATGCTTGGAACTTTCATTTTTTTATTTGTAACCAAGTTTAAACTTTACGAAATGGCATTGAGAGATTAAAGGTAATGCTTCGTTTTAATATTGTTTCCCAAATGATAAGAATTTGTCATTAAAAGTGTTGAGACAGACTAAGTTAATATATTAATTAGCTCAGCAAGTATATTACCGTACAGGAAACTTGGGTATCTCTGTTCTAAATGTGACTACTATCAATTTGAATTGTAATTTTCTTTTTTGTTTTAAAACTACTGAAATTGCAATTCAGTAGTTCCCGACTAACAGTTACGGAATTTTCACAGGTTGAAAGCATGAGTCGATTGAAGCTAGACCACCTTGGAAAACCTGGAAGCGGGATCGTGGATGCGCACTGCTGAGGAGTCCAATACTAGGACGAAACGGCCGTCCAGTGCTTCCAGATTTTCCATGGTGGTCTAGCTTCAATCAACTCATGATTTCAACCTGTGAAATTTCTAAAACTCTCCACAAAACCCATTCTGATAGTTACGGAATTCTTTGACAATGAATTATTCGTAGGTGGTATCATAATGACTTAAGTAATCTGTACATTTGTTCTGTATCCTGCTGTCTTTTTATATCTCGAGGTAGCTCAACACAAGATCTTTCCATTCCTATTCTATAAGTTGCAATTCTAGGCCTGAGAACATAGTTCGTATACATAGTTACTACTATCCTATAGTCCTAAATCGAAATGATAAACACAGAAAAATAAATATGTGACTAAAATTTACATTTATCGGTTATATTACTGGTTTTTAATGACAATTCATTGAAAATTATGTGCTTCACAAATATAAATATTTGTACTGCTGAACTATTTTCCCCTGTATATTTAAATCACAGTACTCCTGAAGGATTTCAAGATAGATATTTACCTTTACAAAGCTCTACTTTTAAGCGGTTCCTATCACTAATATGACTATGTATAGTAAATTGATCTACATCAAGAATGTAAACAAAGTTTATCGATTACTGAGTGCAATTGTCGTTTTACGCAAGCCAAGACAGCCTATTGAAATGTCTGTCTGAATTTACTCGATTTCGAATTTTTACTTAGTTGGTATTATTACTGATTCGTCTGAATGTTTTAAATTTCGGGTTTAATATTAGAAGCCATTAGACAGCGACCGCTAAATTCAGTTCCCACCTAGTTCTGATCCTCACCATTGCCTATTTCCAATTATCGAGGTGGAACGCAAACTTTTAATAAGATACCAAATTTTGTTGCAGATCTTATGCATAAACTATTCACTTAATAAGTGAACCTTTTTAGGATAGAGTTATGAATCAGTCACTGAATAAAAATTTGTCTCACTCTTGATTTCTTAGCGTTGATCAGATCCTAAATTTAGTGAATGGGCGATTTGTCGATGAAGTTATCATCCGTTTACTACAAAACATAACTAGTATTAACTAATGTTGTTTTGCATGATTAAACTATGGATAAATCAGAAAAAGAATAATAGATAAGGTGCTCAGCATTTTCAGTTCCTCTTTTTTGTAAATCCCTCTCTTTGAGTTAAGATTTGATTGAAAAGCGTTACTAATCGGATTGGTATTCGAAAATGTTTTAATGCATAACACCATGTATTTATATATTGTTTCACATGCTTTGATGTGAAGGAATTGAACAATCTTTACCAAACCATGATTAAATTATATAATAAAAGTAAAGCTCTAATAATTTGTTATTCATAGTCTTAAGTAATTCGCATAAACTTGAACAAGATCCAGTTTTTATACTACAAATATCTATATACCAGTGACTAGGATTCCGAACAAATTAACCTCAAATAATCAACCAATAAATTTCACAATGATTGAAATTGTTTACGCTGTCTTTGACATTAAACAACTGACCCGTAATATTCATTTTGTCAATGAAAGCATTTCAGTTCAGTATAGTAAACTCATTTTTTCCACATTATAACAGAGGCTATGTATTTATCAAAATGATTTGAGAAGCAATAGAAGGATACTTCTTTGTATTTTCAAAACTAGATAATTAATAAATGCCTACAAATGTCAAGATGATTAACTATAAGTAAAATTGACAGCAAAATAATGTCGGTAACACTTCTGAATGATATTGAAATGTAATGAACTAACTGGAGTTCGCAATTAATTACAATTATTGAAAATGATGTATACTTATATTATATATATGTATGTTTATTTATTTATCTACAGAGATTTTACGAAACACACACTCTAATCAAAATAATTTGGTCAACAATCAATCAAGTAAGTAACATTTTATTTGATGGTGATACGAAATCAATTCCTCCTGCAGCTCTTCTAGAGCTACTGCCCGTCTCAAGCTTAAGTGCAGGAGTGTTGTGCATGGGGTCAGCAGCCCTATCCCGTATAAAACAACCTTGCCAAAAACACGCTAACCAGAATAAAAAGGTTAAACCGTTCAAACTCTTCCCTCCGGCTTGAAGGATCTTCACTCAGAAGAATTATGACGCCTCATGGTGAAATACGAGATTATTCGGAAATCACGAGACCGATACTCATTCTAACAACCAGAGCAATAATTAATATAGGTAAATTGAACGCCCAGACAAAGTAAGTGACAGGGAGGATCAGCCAAATAGCTAAGGAAATGAGGAGATACAACTTGACGGTGTTCGGAACCAGTGAAACCCATTGGACTGAAGACGGACATAAAAGGTTGAATTCGGGAAAGATGCTGCTGTACTCCGGTCACGAGTAAGAAAACGTTCCACACAGTTAGATAGTCACTTTGATGCTGTCCAAAGAAGCACGTAATGCACTCATAGAATGAACATCTCAAGGATCCAGAATCATCAAAGCATCATTCAAAACAAAAAGGGAGGGAATCACAATGAATCTTATCCAAAACTATGCACCCACCAATGCTGGTGACGACGACGATATAGACCAGTTTTATGAGAGGCTGCAACCGACCATAGTGAAGTGCCCAGGAAACGACCTGACAATCATGATTGGGATACCTAAACGCCAAAGTCAGAATGGAGAACATCGGGTATGAAGATATAAGGAGACACATGGACTGATTGTGAGAAAGGAACGAGAATGGTGACAAATTCGCAAATTTATGTTCATTCAACAAAATGTTTATAGATGGCACAATATTCTCCCACAACCGCATACACAAAGGTAGATGGGTATCAACGGATCACACTATAGAGCAGCACATCGATCATATTTCCATCAATAAGAAATCAGAAGCCCAATGGAAGACCTAAGAACCATGAAAGGAGCTGACACAGCAACATATCACCACCTGATGGATGTCAAGATAAAATTGAAGCCAGGAAAGCGCTGGACAGCTGGGGGAAAAAACAGTACGAATTTCCGATACAGCCATCCTACGAGATACTGACAAACCTAATGAATTCGGGACGGATCTAATAAACAGGTTCCAAGCCTTACAGAATCTAAATAAAAAGAAACTAACATATAGGACAATTGAAAAGGTATCAAAAAAGAACTAACTCCAACAACTCAGGAGGTGCTGGGTCGCAATAAGCATCACCATAAGTAATAAATCTTTATCGAAATCCTGGACAAGATTCAGGAAAGCAAGAACAAGAAGACAGCAATTAACAAGTCGAACGAGAACAGATAAAGTCAAGACACAATCTGAATACACTGAAACAAACAAGCAAGTGAAGAAGAGCACTAGAGCCGACAAGCAGAAATACGTGGAAGAACTAGCAACGACAGCGGATAAAACTGCAACAGAAGGAAATATGAGACAGCTGTATGATATGAAGAAGAAACTAGTAGGGAAATATAGTAAACCAGAGAGACCAGTCAAGGAAAAAGAAGGCAAGCCAAGCCAATCACTGAGATTCAAGAACAGAGGAATGAATGGATAGAACATTTTGAAGAACTTTTGAATGGACCAGCCCCACTGAACCCACCAGACATCGAGGTAGCACCAACAGACCTTCCTATAGATCTCACTCCACCAACGATCGAAGAAATCAGGATGACCATCAGACAAGTCAAGAGTGGGAAATTATCAGGAACTGACAATATACCATCCGAAACACTGAAACCACACATAGAAGTAGTTGCAAACATGCTCCACTTTCTATTCAGGAAGATTTGGGTGGAGGAACTAGTGCCGACACACTAGAAAGAAGGACAATTCATCAAGATACCAAAGAAAGGAATTCTGAGTAAGTGTGAGAACTACAGAGGCATCACACTACTATCGGTACCAGGAGAAATTTTCAACAGAGTGTAGCTGAGACGGATGTAAGATCCATTAGACGTTCAGCTTCGAGATCAGCAGACCGGATTCCGTAAGGATTGGTCATGCATAGACTAAACTGAGACACTACGGATCCTCGTTGAACAATCAGCTGAATGGAATTCGTCACTATACATCAAATTCCTTGATTATGAGGTGTTTTACAGTGTGGATAGGAAGACTATATAGAAATTTGTTCGACTCTATTGTGTACCTGAGAACATCGTTAGCAGCATCCAGAATTCATACGATGGACTACACTGCAAAATGGTGCATGGAGCACATCTGACAAACTCATTCCAAGTGAGTACCGGTATCAGAAATGGTTGCTTACTCTCCCCCTTTCTTTTCCTTCTGGTGGTTCACTGGTTTATGAAAACCTCCACATCTGAGGGGATGCACGCAATACAATGGAGAGCTCGGAATCAACTAGACGATTTGGACTCTACCGATCACCTCATTTTTCTATCCCAAACACACCAGCAAATACAGGTCAGTATAGCCAGTGTAGCAGAAACCTCTGCAGTAGTAGGCGTCAACATACACAAGGGAAAAATCAAGATCTTCAAATACAACACGGAGAACACTAAACCAATTAAACTTGATAAAGGAGCTCTGGAAGAAGTGGAAACTTTCATGTACCTGAACAGTATCATCGATAAACGTGGAGGATCTGGTGCAGACGTAAATGCAAGGATTGATAAAGCAGGGACAACATTCCTACAATTGATGAACATATGGAACTCAAAACAACTGTCTGAAAGCCAGTATCGAATTCAAAATCTTCAATACGAACATCAAGACAGTTCTACTTTACGCAGCTGAAGCTTGGAGAACTACCACAACCATCATCAAAAAGGTAAAAGTATTTATAAACAACTATCTACTCAGGATACTCTATGTCCGTTGACCAGATACCATCAGCAACAGCCTACTTTGGGAGAGGAAAAAACAACTTCCAGCTCAGGAGAAAATTAGATGTTGGAAGTGGATAGGACATACATTACGGAAATCACCAAACTGCATCAGGAGGCAAGCGCCAACTCTCAATCCTGAAAGGAAATGGAAAAGAGGAAGGCAGAAGAACACACTACGTCGGGAATTTGAGGCAGACATGGAAAGGATAAATAGCAACTGGAAAAAACTTGAAAGGGTTGCCCATGATAGGGTTGGATGGAGAATGTTGGTAGGCGGCCTATGCTCCTCCATGATGAGTGACAGACCTAGGTAAATAAGTAAGTGATACAAAAACAGAATTCTAAATAATCATAAGAAGAGTGACCTTCGCCAGAGTTTTCTGTGTATTCCGTATTGAGGAATTAACTTGACTATTTAAAGTTTAATATTTATCAAATAATTTGTATCATCCAGCACCTATAGGACATTAATTTATCTTTACCATGCAAATGTAGTTTTTATTTTAAAAAATCTGCCTAATAAATATGGTTGTTTGGATTTATTAACATGAAAAAACTGTCAGTATCCAATACAATACGATTAACCTTGGTTCTGTCTTACTAGGATAATAGTTCTTGTTGAACAGCATAAACATATTTAACAAAATAGTCATTAGGAAGACAGAGTGCCTGTTGTTCACAAATTTGCTACCGGCAATTCAAACAACTAACCTACTGATAACATTGAGAGATGGTTGTACAATATCGCTAACTTATCGAAGTTAGACATGTCAAACATTAAATGCCGACTCCTTAGTCTAAAGTTAGATCATTCGATGCCAGACCCGAGGTCCTTGTGTTTGACCTTCAGTGGCGTCGTAGATATATGCTGTTGAGTAGTCTCACTCTAATATCACTTATGATCATCCGAGACAATCAAGTTTCAAATGATTGTTTGACTAAAGTCAATCTATAATGTAATCAAATGTGTCTGCTTAATTTCCTTCACAGTGACACAAGGCTCGAATAGACTTCAGTATATCTGCTGGTATATGATGTATGGAATTTTTTCATCACTGATAATCTCCATGATGATTTGTATAATAATTTAACTGTATGGAGAATGACGAAGGTATGATTACAAAACAGCCATATATGTACTCAATTAGTGACCTTGAAAGACAAAAACTACATCATAGCATAGAATGCGAATATTACGTAGACACGAATAGAGAATCGATAAAAATAAGCTCAGCGTCAATAGTCTACAAAAAATATGGTTTAAAAGCATACGAAAGGAAAAGACTTCAAAATTTACATCGTTTATCAGCATGATTCAAATAAAATAAAGTGAATATCTACAATCGTATGTATATAACATTTTACTCCTTGAAAAATGATATCTCAATCAAAAACTGAATAATCTCCACAACCCCTATACTAGTAATATCACAAATTCCTAATATTACATAGTTCTGATTGATGATTCATATTAATTTGAGTTCTTGGTGAATATTATATTTAAACCATTACATGTATGTCAACTTAGTGACATTTTCATTTGATGCCTAATATGATTTTGGTATAGTTAAACAAAGTCAAATTTAACATCTAAAAATATTGTTACATAAAATTCACTCTTTCAAAACTATCAATGTTGTGTTAACTTGACTGGAATCCTTTAACAGTCTACAACAGATTACTCAAGATTACCATTTTTAAATTCTTGTTATTTATGATTAAAGGATTTGGCTTTCAAAACTTATAAAGAAAGTTCAGAGGTCATTTCCGTTATTTATATTTGGTTGTTCTATATAAAACTTGCCTAAAAAATTGTAGTTTTCTACCATTTAAGATTGATTATAAAACTTTAGGTAACTCCTAATATCACTCAATTGTGATGCCTAAAACACTAGTGCGTTTATACTGAGTATCACACAAAATGTACAAAGTTAATTTAAAATCAGTGAGGAAACATGAATGATATTCAGTTTATGGGGATAAAGTTTTTAAGGATGAAAATTTTTCCAGATCTAATCCACCATCCTGATTTGGGTTTTATTCCCTTTGACTAATCGAAGCGTCGTTTCCAGAGTCTACTTTCGGATCAATAAATACAGCGATTTTTTTATTACATTACCCATTTGCCGTTCACATCACCCCAGTCATATCGTCTCACATATCTGTTTCGAACATCGAGGCTGAAAATCTATTAAGAGTGATATTTGTTGATGTTTGGATTACAACATTAAGAGAATTTGTTAGTGAAGCTGTTAACTCGATGTAAGTGTTTCGTTTATATTTATAAGTTGGAAGGATTGTTCATGGGAGTATTTCATGGCATCGTCTATTACCGGAAGATCAAATAATGGAATGAATATCAACTGAATATCATACTACTTCTGTTTCATTTGATCATAATACAATACTGTATTGTTGTTCTTTTCTTGATAGCATCTTATATGAGAAAACCGGAAGTATTATTTACTATACTATCGATATTGATTTTATCAATTCTTATCAATTTGGGATTCTGCATTCGATGTTTACTATTTCGTTCCTATATTGGTAAGCTATCAACTAGAAAATGGAATTGTCAATTTTTATATTTACTATGTTAATTTATATTTTCTGGACTTTTTTCAGAATTTACTTTTTAAGTATAATCCGGAATTAAATACATCTTTCCGTATACCTTTAACAAAAACATAACTAATTCAATATTCATCTTGATTAGTTATTCGTTTAGACCTTTATAATTACTATCAAACAAAAAAAAGTCTATGAATTATTATTAAGATTAGGCTAAATCGACATTTTTTCAATAAGTCATGAAGTCTTACTTTCCATAATGATCAGTTATTTCCTATGAGTATAATTAATCAATATGTTCAAAAGCGATGAATCTACATTATATGCGAAAATTAATCAATGTAGTCAGGAGAATCAGCAATTGTAATGAAGAAACATACTTGTGCATTGGAAATATTGGTTATAATAGAAAAACTCGCCGTTTCCTTACACCAGTAAAGTTCAAGCTAATATAATTATCTGTATATGTATACACAGAGATAAAAACTTTAATCAAAAGTAAACCTCATTTACAGTATGATTTGAACTAGTAGGTATCGAACTACTAACACGACTCTTTACTAAATGGGCCACGAAACTTAACCATTAATTAAGTTTACATTCTGTTCTAACTTCTAAGTGAATTGTTTTAGTTTATATTATTCTCTCCTCCTTGTATTTCCTTACTTTTCTGTACTTCAGACGCATCACAAGAAGGATCAAGTAAAACAAGTTGCCTAGCTGCTTGTCTTTGCTTACCTGATGAAATGAGGAAGGGTTCACTAATTATGACGACACCAATTCTACCTCGAGCAACTATAACGCCGCATATGAATCATGTTAGAATAAATGGCTCAGATCATGGAGTACTTAATTCGTCATACAGCTTATCTGCTATACAAAAAATCCCTTTACTCTACAATGGTACATCATATAAAGAGAATCCACCTGGAAATTACATTCCAACAAATTCATTACCAGGTACTTTCAGAAAGAATGGATTGCAAAACATGAGAAACAATAGCATACCACAACAACAATTTGGAGGATTAACGCAACCTCAAACTTTAGATATGGAGAATACCAATCTAACAACATTTCCTATGATTGATGACACAAATAAGTTTGTTAGTTTCACACCAACATACATTCGAGCTCCATCACTTAATACTCCTTCACCAAATCTTAATCGTGACGTGGTGAACAATTATGGATACTCACCACAAACTCCGGTACGTCATTTTGGGCAGGGTGAAATTCACTCATTTCCGCAGTATTTAATACGAATGCAGCATCCGCATGTCATATACGACGATGTTGCTGGAGGAACATCAAGTATTGTAGGGTCATTGGGTCATAGCCCAAGTGGTAGCATTATAGACACTACAAGTTTGCAAACTCATTTAGCTCAACTTCAAAATATCAATGTAGCGAGACAAAATAATATATTACAACCAACTAATTCAAGTTTCTCTAATCTCATGAACCTATCCCCGGACTCTAATATTCAGGGTCATTATATATCACTCCAACCCTCAATAAGCCATAAATTAGCAGACGATAAGACTGCAACTTCGGTTACTTCATCAGTTCCAGTATCAGTGTCTACACCAACTTCACCTAATTACTCAGGTCAAACCCGGTCAGATACATCTGTTATCCCAAGTGTTTCCTCGTCAACGACTGGAAGTTCAACTAATTCGCAACAAACAGTAACATTGACCCAAGCTGAAAAATCATTAAATACTAATATATCAAATATAAATCCACCTTCGACATCTTCCCCATCAATTAGTTGACTTGTGGCAAACACAACAAACAACTGATTCTTACTCACTTGGATTTAATAATAACTGAAACATAAAAAACAACCACTAATTTCTAGTGATATTAATTGAGAAATTTTATGTACAATACAAGCTAGATATCGAAGAATCTGATATATTTCATATTGTTCAATCTTTGCAAAAGATTATTGTTATTTAAATGAGAATCCGCGATTGTTGTCATTAGTTTTATACAACCACGTTTCGTAAAATTCTTTTTAAGTAGACTTTAGAAACATGTTTATAGACACTACTTAGTCAGTCAGCTACAACGTAGTACCAGGCACATATATGCACTGGTCCAAGTTGCCATACCTCATTAGCACAACAAAATGAACACCGAACTCCTAAAGTAGTTAATTCAGTGGTGGTAATATATAAAAGATTGCATATAAGGATATAGTACAGGAAGAAAGGTATGAAGTAATTTTAATATCACGGTTTAAGGGAAGACAGAGAGTGTATACACCGACACCATTGTGATCGATTCTGAGCCATGTTACCCAAGGTCTCCAACCATTAGTTACGATAGTCACGCGGACCCCAATCAGGTAGTCTGCATCTACCAACATGACTCACACTAGGAGTCACTTTAAGGACTGATGCCATGTTTTAGTTTGGCCGCCAATAACTTTCTCCCAACACTAGTCAGCATTGCTCGTCGTGGTAATCGGTATTTAGGTATACGTAACACGTGGCCCAACCACCTCAGTCGATGAAGATTCACAACCTCATCAACTGATTTACCATCGTCAGACACCAACCCATTAGGGTTGATGAGACTACTTCACTCCCGATCCTTAGTTCAAGTGTTGACGCAAGCCAGTCCTGGAGCACTATGTATGCACCAATGAATTATATTTAAAAATGGTAAGGAAAGACATGGATCTCTGTCCTTCTCTTACTTAAAGTAGTATTATTCAGCAGTGTACATAACTTACATGGTTTTCCGATGAAGAAAATACACAACGTCCAAGGATTGACCCGGTGGTTAGAGTAGTGGTTGAGTCGACAGTTTGAAATCTGCTGCTTAGATCTCACATAGAAGCGTGAATGATTAGGGGTGGTGCGAAAGTTAAGTCAAAGGTTTATTACTATCACTTATCTAATACAGAAAGTTTGAATGAATCGTGTTTATGTATATGTAATCCTCCACGTGTGCTATTGGTGACATATTTACTAACATTTAAGAATAAACTCATAACTTAAAATTAGTGTAGGAATGTGAACAGATAATACACTAAATGAATTCAGCAATAAATGCCTTTAACTATAATAAAACACCAAATGATATTAGGGTTTCATCCTAAGCAAATATCATAGACTACCAAATCTTTGTCTTATCAATGTCCAAATTATTTATGAAACTTACATTGGCTGAAATATTTGTTTGACAAAGTATTGAAGAATGGAATACAATTTACTGCTGATGCTACAAACCGATTAAATGTGTATCTGTACTATTTTGTAAGTAGAAAATGAATTTTCAGTTAGTGTTCAGTGGATAGAAGCATTGGCTTTTGAAAGGCTGTTTCGTGGTCTTGGAAACATACAAACGAGGACGTCATTAGTCTGACTTTCGCATTATGACTAAGCTCAGATTTAACTTAATGAAATGTATCTCTGAGAAATATTCTTTATGTACAAAAATGGACTGGTTTATGAAAAATGTTAGAAACTTGGGGAACAAAACGGATATGCATGACTAAACTATCGCTAGGTTGGACTGTCTTAAGTTTACTTGTTTCTCTGTTTTGACTGCCTGTTATGTTCAGAGTTGTAATCTACATAGATCCACTACAGTAAGCAATTTTATGCTTGCTGACCAATCATTCTTGAAAATCAAACAAAATTTCCTTTCTGAGCTCAGTATTTTCAGAAGCAAAAACATAAAGGATATTGTAAACTCAATCGAGATTAAAGCTAGCTTAAATTCAGAAGTAACAACATTAGTATTCGTGAATATCTGATACTGAAAATTACTAGGACAGAATAAAACAATCCTATCGAACATTCTGAATAGTTTTATGAATTTTTTTTTAAACACTGATATCAAATTATGGGAGAGAATCACCCTTAAAATTATCAGAAAACTATTGGATTAGTCGAAATCTAACGAGAATGACTATAACTAAATAGGCAGTATATTAAAGGCTATAATAATGATACACTGTACAATATATATCACTTTTATGAATACAATATAATAAATAATAATTCAGTTCAGTGATTAAACATATCGAAATATAACATCATTTTTGGATATCACCAATTGTACTTCTAGTTTCACAACACATCGAAGTATAAGAGAAAGCATTTCTTCTGTGTAACCAATGAGGAAACTGGTTTCTCCTGGAGATATTCGCTTTAATAGTAAAAAAGCTACACGTATTACGTTACATTGTCGTTTGATAATAACCTTTTGGGTGTGTAGAAAATAAAGTAGTTCAAAATGAATGTGATTTACACCGAAAAACAATAAATATAAAACTCTATTATTTGTCGATAACACAAGAAATTTTAGTACAACAATCGGATAAAAGAATACAAGATATAAATGAGTATAAAAATATTACGAAAGAGTAAAGAAACGTCATATTATCAATAAAAAAATAAGAATAATGCTTAATAATAGATAAAACTAATTTGGAAAAACAGTCAAAATGGATTTCTTTCAATTAATGAAATCCACTTAAATTTTATGATGAATCCACTAAAAACTGTAGAAAGATATCTACTGCCTTTTAATATGTCATATCTGACAACACTCAAAGCTACTGCCTCGCATGATCATTAGGAACCCAACCTGGAAATCGTAATGGATCGGCAGTTACCAACCCACAAAAGCTTTTTACCCCCTGTAGACGTCAATTATCAGTATAGGGTTGTGGAGATTATTGAGTTTTTTGATTGAGATCATGAATGGATTGATGTTAAATCACCAATGAAAACCTGAAAGCATTGGACGGCTGTTTCGTCCTATTGTGAAACTCTTCAACAGTGCGCATCCACAAGCCCTCTCGCGGGATTCGTTCGCGCGCGAGACTGAAGGCCCTGGATTTGGATTGATTATTGGCGATAACATCTTATTATGAAAATAAATGCTTCCAGGGTTTTTAATTATCAAATGTGCGGTACATAGGCTGTGACGCATAAATGTCAGTCAGTAAAAACGTAGAACTTCGTACGTACGTACATCAGTTCGAGTTGCCACACCACATTAGCACAGAGATGCACTTGTCGATTCAAATCCCGTAGTGGTAGAGGTAATAAGAGTATAAGCAGTAATCGGGAAGATTAGGGTTTGGAGATGTTATTTAAAGAGTATGATCCAGTGAAATAAATTTGGAAAGAGGAAAAAAGGGACATGAAGAATTCAGAAGATAAGAATTTGGGAGAACACAGAGAGTGGATGCACCTGCGCCATTGCAAACGATTTTGAGCCATGTCATTCAGGGTCTCTAACCATCGGTTGCTATCATCTCGCGGTCCCCAACCAGGTAGTCTACACCTACCAACATGACTCAGTCCACTTGTCAGTGACTTCATGGACTTGTGCCATGTTTTGGTTTGGCCGCCCATAGCTTTCTTCCAATCTACTCCTATACCACTGAACATAGCACGTCGAGGTAGTCGGTCGTTGGGCATACGTAACACGTGTCCCAGCCATCTCAACTGGTGAAGTTTCACTACTTCATCAATTGATTTGCCATCCTTACCTAGTACTCGTTTCCTCAGTCAGTCAGTCAGTAACAACGTAGAACTTCGTACGTACGTACATCAGTTCGAGTTGCCACACCACATTAGCACAGAGATGCACTTGTCGATTCAAATCCCGAAGTGGTAGAGGTAATAAGAGTATAAGCAGTAATCGGGAAGATTAGGGTTTGGAGATGTTATTTAAAGAGTATGATCCAGTGAAATAAATTTGGAAAGAGGAAAAAAGGGACATGAAGAATTCAGAAGATTAGAATTTGGGAGAACACAGAGAGTGGATGCACCTGCGCCATTGCAAACGATTTTGAGCCATGTCATTCAGGGTCTCCAACCATCGGTTGCTATCATCTCGCGGTCCCCAACCAGGTAGTCTACACCTACCAACATGACTCAGTTCACTTGTCAGTGACTTCATGGATTTGTGCCATGTTTTGGTTTGGCCGCCCCTAGCTTTCTTCCAACCTACTCCTATACCACTGAACATAGCACGTCGAGGCAGTCGGTCGTTGGGCATACGTAACACGTGTCCCAGCCATCTCAACTGATGAAGTTTCACTACTTCATCAATTGATTTGCCATCCTTACCTAGTACCCGTTTCCTAACAACTGTGTTACTTACTCGATGGTCCCATGATATACGAGCAATGTTTCGAAGACACCTATGATCAAATACTAGTAACCTACGAATATCCTCTACTCTTACCGGCCATGTTTCACTGCCATAAAGTAGGACGGAGCGAACTGCTGCGCAGTAAACACGTCCTTTGATTGATAGACGGATATCTCGCCTACGCCATAAATGACGCAAGTTGGCAAAAGCTAGTCGAGCCTTCTGTATCCGTGCTGAGATTTCGTCACACACCAAACCACAAGGGCTGATGAGACTTCCAAGATAAGTGAAGCGGTCGACACACTCAACTACTTCACTCCCTATCACTAGTTCGGGTGTCGATGTAACCCAATCCTGAAGCAACATTTTGCATTTCGAGGGAGAGAATCGCATCCCGAACATGCTTGCATTGTTGCTTAGAGTGGTCAGAAGACTCTGCATTTTGTCAGCGTCTTCACCAAATAAAACTATGTCATCAGCATATTCTAAGTCAACAAGTGAACCTCCCGGTAGAAGTTCAACCCCTGGAAATTTAGATGAGGAGAGTGTTATCTCTAAAAGTACGTCGACCACAAAGTTGAACAAGAATGGGGAGAGTGGACAGCCCTGACGAACACCACTTGAGGTAATCAATTCTGATGACAGTTCGCCATAAGCTCTCACTCTACCAGTTGTGTTCGAGTAGAGAGCCTTTACAAGGTTAATGTACTTCTTTGGTACTCCTTTCAGTGACAAACACTGCCATAGAACCTCACGATCAACAGAGTCGAATGCCGCCTTAAGATCGAGAAATACTATCATTGTGGGGCGTCTGAATGTGTGTCTATGTTCTAGAACCTGACGTAGTGTGAATATCTGATCTATACAACCACGTCCAGGTCGAAAACCGGCCTGGTTTTCTCTAATCTGCTCTTCACGAGCTTTGATTAGGCGTCGAAGTATTATTGAAGCTAATATTTTAGACACTATATTAGTCAAACTGATTCCTCTGTGATTGTCACAAGAAGATTTTTGTCCTTTCTTATAGACTGGCACAATCAGTGATTGAGACCAGTCAGATGGAATTACGTCCAGTTCCCAAATTCTACCTAAGACCTCGGTTAATCTCACTGCTAATACTGGACCACCATCCTTAAAAATCTCAGGAGTAAACCTGTCAGGACCTGCTGCTCTCCCTCGTTTAAGATTTCCTATGGCTTTTTCAACTTCGAAAAGGGACGGAGGACCTACATTAACTTGCCATTCAGGTTGACTGGAGATCGTGGGAAGCCGAAGTGTGGCTGAAGGCCAGTTGAACTGATCCCTAAAGTGTTCTGCCCATCGATCCAATCTCCTGGATTGAGAATGAATAATATGTCCATCTTTCTCTGAGATTGTTTCGCTAACAGTCGGGTTCCTAATTCCGGTTTCCTTAACGAGTCTGAACAATTGTCTGCTATTACCTATCGCCGCTGCCTTTTCCATCTCTCTTGCTTTCGCTACCCACCACTGTTCGCGATCATTGCGTAGACTTCTTGTCAGCTTGCGCTTAAGCTGACTCCGCTCTTCATTATGTTCAGAGCCAGGTGGAATGAGTTTCCGAGCATCTATCAGTGAGATTGATGCTGCTGAGATCCAGTGTTGCTCCCTAACCTTCTTGTTTACCTTACTAGCAGATATCACTGCTGTTTCCACAGCTTTTCGGATATCATTCCATGCTGCATCGGGGTGGGCATCACCTACATGGCTGCCTAACTGTTTTCCTAGTTGTTCCTGAAATATACTCTTAGCTTGACTATCATTAAGTAGGGCCCTAAGAGGTTTACTTGCAGCGTCTTTTTTACGTCCAGTAAGACGCAAGCAAATGCGCGCTCGCACTAGAGCATGATCTGAATCTAAGCATGTGCTCCAGAATGAGCGACAGTCTTCTATCGAGCCCCTCCATCGGTGGCTGATAGCGATGTGATCTATTTGGGTCCAACGTTGGGACGAATTAGGTGGTCGCCATGTTAAAAGATGTTTTTCAATAACTGCGTTACTTACTCGACGCATAAATGTACGACATAAACTACCAGTGAAATGCCGTAATCAGTTCTTGAATTACCTACCCTCAAATATCACTGAACCGTAGTAGTCACGTAAAGACACATCACAATTAAACAACTTATTATTATCATCTTCCTTTATATTTTAAGTCGTTCTCATCTAAGAGACAAAATGTTATGGATTTCAAAGTGCTGGGTGACAATACTTCATTATTTCCATACATAGAAGAACTTGTTTTATTATTTATTTATTTATTTTAACACATCGATATTGGTACAAGGAGGCACCAAATACATATGCGCCATATAAATCATACGATTTGTGTGAGGACTGTGATACTGCCCGGGTGCCCAGACCGAAGCAGGTGGTTTTCTTAAGGGACCACTCCCCGAGCCTTCAACCTAAAGGTCTGATCCACAAGGCAGTGGAGCATCGTGAGGAGATGCAGTCCCATGGTAGCCGGTGACCAACGATTAGTTCATACTCCATTTGTTCCCACAGGATACTGGAGCCCATGTCCACCATTGATTTGGTTTGGAATCCGGTTAAAGCGCCGGACATTCGCTTTTCGTCCTCTCAATTTCGTAAACAACAATCCCTTCGAGTCAGTGAGTAGGACTTCCCTAGCAGAGGCTGTCTACACGTGGCCGTGTGAGAGCAGTTCGAGAGAGAGGGCGGGCCTACCCCACCCTCGGCCATACCAGGGCATTTAGGGGCAGAAGGACTGGTCACAAAAAGGAAATCCGATTTTAGCTGAAATAATTATCCGAACAGTTTAGTGAAAATATTCACTGAGATAGTTTGTGAGGGTTTAGTTAATCCAAAAATAACTTTTACGACTGACTGAAATCATTTGAAAAATATGTAAAAGCGGGAGATCAGTCAACAGCTAATACACACTAGTTCGGAACTCAAATGATACGTGACCTTGACTACATACCGAGTCGGACCTACAGCCATCAAGACTGATGGCTGAATCATAATAATTTGTTACCTGACATTAGTAACCTGCTGCGAAATCGATGTCGCGAACTTTTAATGGGGAGATGTAATATATCCTAGTGAAGATTAAACTATATATATTCTTATTGTGTAACTATTGAGTAACTAGATTATGTATATTTATATTCCTCTTATTATAAGCTTTAGTTTGACCTATAGAATATTATTATTAATTACAGTCTCTGACAATCACAGCCACTCTTTGGCTTGATCTTGTACAAATGTCATTTTTATTTTATGGTGTGATGTGGTCTGGTTTGCTTGTATATAAACCAGGTATGTTTGAAATAGATTATTCGTATAGTGGAAGCTGATATTGGTGTTCTGGACCCGACAGGCAAGGCTATGCAGGAAAAGTCCAACAAGGACGCTAGGCCACTTATACCAGTCAAGACGTCATTGGTTTGGCACAGTGCTAAGATTGTATAAGTCGTATGATGATTGGTCAGTAAGTCACGTGGTATTTAACAGTGCTAAAAGTCCCGACAGTAATCTGTGCAGCTGGTTAGTTATAGAATGAAAACAAGTGTCGCCCGATCGCATCAAGTGGTGGTAGCACTGTGTCATAAACCTAATGATACTGAAAATGGGGATCCAAGGTTTTTGACTCAGTGATTGAATCTTGATGTACTACCACGAGAGTCAATGCTCCTGAGTTACATTCCGTACAGAATCGAGAGTATGAGCTAAAATAATTATCAGATGACTTTTTTACTGAATTTTCACATTCCAATCTGAGATGGACAGAACTTTCAAAATCTGAATTTCCGTAAACTAACTCAACGAAGTTATGCATCGAAACCAGATTTAGCATCAACATAAGGGTGCAGTGTGGAAAAATTATATAACTGTGTACAACTAAATAAACATACTTCACTTTGAACCAACAAAGGAAAAGTTCCATTAATAAATGTTCGAATGAACTGGTCATGAAGGGTAACTTCTGAAGTGTAACGGTCTTCTCCTTCCAAATTTGAAGTATTCCAAGAATTCCAAGACTTCATTATACCGATTTGATGTGGCTTTTTTGCCTGCTCGTAGGTGAGGGGGTGGGATTGATCTCTAGTTCGACGTACCACCCCAGCACGAGTGTTCTTGCAAATCGTGTTTCCTGTGTGTATTTTTTTACTGGTGACGTACGTATCAGATATTACACGTTCACAATTACGTAGCCGTGCAAACATCACGAAGAAAAAGTTTGCAACCAAAGTAAGTTAAGCAGAGTAGAAACGGATAAGTAAGAAGCTATCCAAAAACTGTGAGTGATCAACTTCAAAGTTAATATTGATGACTGGGTACTCTACAAAGTTACCTGAAAGGAAAAGTAAATGACTTGATAGCAAGGTCTAAATCTATAACTATTATTATATACCCTAATAGAAGCAATAAACAATGCGTTTTAAAATGGCAAATAACGTAAGATAAGGTATTTGATATATTCAACCACTCTCTAAAATGGTCCCTGATGTCAGTAGCTATTTTAAATTTCTAACGATTATAGGCTTTATAAGATACGATCAACAGCTTATTTAGCAATCTCAGAGAGGAATTTTTTACCTAAACCTTGGTTGTAATGCTTTTGCTTTCATGAATTATACGTCCAGGGACTCGATGGTTTTTAATAATTTTCTAGTGTATAGAAAATAAAACCTTATTATCCGTAGTACTATTTAAGCGCCTTTTTAGTGGCTTGTTTTAAGTTGGACATTTGACAGGATATGAGGAATGTTTTGAGAAGCTAAGACAAATTTCTTACGTTTGTCGGGTATGCAATTGTTTTAAAAATAAATCATGCCAAAACCGTTATGATTCAAACCATAAGGTACCAGGACGAATTTTATATTACTGCTTATTACCTGACAAATAAACGACTCGAGCTTAGTATTTCGCTTGACTACGTAGGTTGTTTATGGAAAATGAGTTAGTTAATGTTAGATACTATCCCCATTTCTGTTTAAAAATATCACAGGTATCCCTCTGAAAAGTACAGTTAGAGTACAGCTTTTCAGATTGACCCTGTACGATGAAACAAACTTAACGATCTTGAATAAATAAATGGCACAATCTTGTATGCTGAAGTCTTACGGACTTTGGCGTGTTTCTCTGTCCCTAAATCCAAAGCGGGTTTGCAACAGCACCTAAACTGCTCACAGGGAACGAGGCGGTCAAAAGCGCCAACCAACTAACTCAAATCGGCAGTCACATCAGGCGTCAGGGGATTGGCACCTGATGAAATCTACGCAAAGATTAAGAAGGCTAGGATGGCTTCGCTAACTTGTGACGCCTATAGTGTGGTAGACATACCTATTATTTAGACGTGCGTAAAGTATACTGTGTAGCAGTTTGCATTGCATAATTCTATAGCTGTGAAAAATGGCCTATGAAATGGAAACGTGTAGGGCGGAAGTGCATCGAGGACGTTCTGGGAGTATTTCCAGGCATAGTGCAAGAAAAAGGTAGATCAACCCGGAGAAGGCATTTCATGGAAAAGCAACATTAGTAAACACGAGAAAACGGCATTTTCGGTGAAGTTTGTTAAGACCAAGGCACAGAACTAGAGAAAGATACTATGTGTTGTGTAGTACAAGTCTGTAACCCGATGAGCAAGATAGGTCAAGCATCAAATATTTGTCTGATTATGACTAAATTTTAACCGTCCCAAATGGTCTTCATAGTAAATTGGCTACAACATTAATACATTAAAACAGGTTCATCAACCTACTATCCTTATCAATGAAGGCTGAACATAGAAAAAATAGACAAAAGTAAACTACATGAATGAAAGTCAGATTTCGGCGTGAAACTAATTTTCGCATAATAACTGGTCTGAATTCATGATGTGAACCCAAATAATTCATGTACAAAAGCCTACTGTTCGTGTTAAAACAGACTACTAACCATAATTCTGTTGAGTTTTTTTATAAATCGTTTGACTCGGCTAAAAATAGGTAACGGTCATGCACAAACTTTACTCCCACCAAGAAGTAAACTGTGATTTTGATACACAATGGACGTTAGGAAAAACAATGTTCCCTCAAACGTTCCGAACACACTAAGAAACCGTAAGAAGCCAAAACTTTTGAATACATACCATTTCGATGTCCAATTTACAGTACAGATGGTCAAATGGTTGCGGATGGAACAAAAGCTTTTGGTTAACGACACTTCATGTCGAGCAGCAATTTATCACAGATGACCCCAGGCAAGCCTGAAAAAATAATTAATAATAAGTTGGCAATATATACTACTTTTAGTCCATATGCATATTACAGATGGCAGTGGTTACTAGGTTATCATGTGACGGTCCAAAAACATCGATGCGGTTTGTTCTGTCGCACCTCTTGACACCTGAGGTTGCCAGTAAATTCACGTTACTTGGCACCTCTTCAAAACGAGCACTTCAGAAATGCAAGTTTTACGGCTGCATGCGAAGTAACCTATATCTATTATTTAAACTTCAGGTGCCTTAACTAATCGCTTTCTGTCATCCGCTGTCAACGAAAAAGACCTTTGTAAGCTGTAAGACATCGCGACACAAGGTTACTTTCACGATATCCGAGGCGAGATGATAAAGCGTAATATAAGAAAACAAGATCAAGTATGTACAAATTTAAAGTGATAACTTCCCTACGACTCTATAGTTACAGTCAACAATATTGACGAACATAGCCGTAAGTTCAGCTTCAAGTATTTGGCTGTGCCAAGGCATGTCAGTGAGATATGGTTGTGACTTTTCTTCTTTCTTTTAATTCAGAATTCACGGGACGACTACCTCAATTCTCAATAGCCGAACGGACGTGGCTTAAGGGAATAGTCCGTGCAATTTTCATTATGTTCTACCTCATTTTTAATAAACAATTTTCGGTAAAAGAGCTTACTTTATTACTTACATGGGAAACTAGAAGTGTTGAGAATGTGTGTTTGAGTGTATGGTGACATATATTCAGTGATTTTTGTAACAACAAAAATAAAAACCACATTTTTTCTCGAATTTGTCACACTTTATTTGTAACCACATTTTTATCCAATATCTGTTGTTTTGCTGTATCACTTGTTAAAAAGACGATGATAATTGTTTCGATGATTGGTATACACTTCTACTACCGGGTTGTTTAAAAATATAGAACAATACCTACGCCGTTTGTTCTTCTGTTTTATTGGCCACCGTTTTGATTGAAGACTATAATAGTGTTATAACATCCTTATAGGCCTTCCGACTCAACGTTGGACTTTTGGCGCGGATTACTATTGTATAATACTATTGGACTCCGTCTTCCTCATTACGTCTTTGGTGCAGTCACTTGCAGAGGAACACCTGTCAACCAAGTGAACTTAGTTTGTGGTTGTTGTCCTCACGAGGCATTTAGCAAGTAACATTCATTCTATAGTAACTGTTAGCGTCTGTTTGTTTAATATACCTTTTGTATTGCTAACGGTATTTTATTACCTTTGTTTTTACTAACGGACAGACATCTAGGTTTCTTAATCATCAATTCGTTTTGGTATATCAGTGTTAACCTAGAGTATCAATATATTTTGTGTGAGCTCCTTTTGTTTGGGGACCACCACAAGTGTCAGTGAAATTTTGATTTAATGCACATTCCTTATAGATAATACATCACCTGTTCCTTCTTTTGCAGATAATTCCAAATAACAATGAATTAGCAATTGCAATGGATATGCAAAACAATCGATGCTTAAGCTTCTGCTCTAATGTGGTACAATAATACTCTTTTCCTTTCAAATAATTTTTTTCAAAAATATACCGGTTTTCCAGTGCATTGAAGATTTATTTTCGTCTGTTGTTGGAAATGAAGGCGAACATAGGAGACTTTTGGGGTTATGTCAATTGATCGAAAATACGGAGTTCTGTGTGTATTTAGACGAAAAGTAGACAGTTAAGTGTATAAGTAGGCAATTACACGGAAATTCAGGCGAAAATTCGACAATTCTGCGGATATTTAGGCTAAACTTCGATGTTTAGGCGAAAAGTGAGTAATTTATCGACAAAGCGGCAAAAAAGGGGGAAATCCGCATTATTTACCCCGGACAGGCGAAAAAGGAGACATTCTGGCGCGTTTAGCCCTTTATTTCCCCTTTGTTCGCCTTTATTACCCTTTTTTGGGTTGTCTGGGTGATGTCAAGTTTCTTCACGAAACTCCTTGGGGAACGTTTGAATATATACCACATACCCCATCTACCTTAATCTCACGATCTAAGGTAGCGGGTCAGTAATTCACCTTAGCAAACATATTCGTGATGAAGTTGTGGAAGTGCACCCCCCCCCAAAAAAAAATAGCTACATAAGTCTTCCACATTGATGCCGACCTTAATAATATTAATGGAAACATCCCTAGCCCAAGGCTCGGAGTCTAGCATCAGCACCAGATCATATCTGAACGCCCCATAGTGCGCATTTCCTGAAACCGATCAGCTTAGGTTCCATACAGTAAGGTATATCTGTCTTTATTTCAAGTATATCTCATTCAATCATTCTTGATTTTTTATTTCAACGGCTTTGAAAGCAGTACATAAGAAGAAATTATGAGTAGTAGCACTTCTGAGTCTTGAGTATCGGTGACCTTAAACTACACCATTGGGTTCAGAATAAACTTACAGATAACAAACCGTTGTAAACCAAAGATTCTAAAGCCCCGAAGAGCACTTATAATTGAATTACGAGCTGACAATTTAGGAGATCAATGAGTCGGTCTCCTCTGTAAACCGGAGTGGTGTGTTCTAGCTTTTGTTCGTTTGGGACCCCATCTTAGTTGGGGGAAAGTTAGGGTAATAACAAAGGGGGTATTGTCAAAGATTAAAATGCTTTTCTCATTGTGGCATAGTGGGCAGTGCCTTATCTCGAAGACGTTTCCTTGTTAAGGTGCTGATTTTTGTAGTGTACTAGCTTTGTACTTAGATTCACCTTTGAAATTCCTGTTGGTCTGTATTAAACACTGTCGTTCAAGTTGTCCAATTGGTGTCTTTACCTAATCCCTTCTGAAATATTTGCAAGTGTTATCGTCGCTGATTTTTCTGTGTTCTGTTCAACAGTATCTTTTCATTTTAAGCATTAGAATGGTATGATTACATACGGCCTTAGTTTACTCGCAACTTTATGGGCCACCTTTGGTACATTCTGAATGTTTGTTCATTATGCTATTTCAAGAAAGAATTCCAAGAGTACATTAAAATAAGTTTAAGAAGAGCTGTGACATTCAGGAAAATGAAATTTTAGTGTGTGTTAACTTCATGGCTTTTTAGTACGGTTTTACGAATAAAAGTGCATCCATATTGACTACTTCTTCTTAAGGTGTGCAGGAGTTAGACGCTTTCTCCTGAGAACTCTCCGTTTGTGAAGATTCAGCTTGTGGGTGAGTGCACCTGGGTGTTTACTTCATGAGTTCTTATTTTCACATTCTGAATAAGCCCCCCAAATCCATGTATCACTGGCATAGTTTACTTTATGAGGGACAAATTACCCTAAGACTGTGGTGTGTGCCCTAGTTTGAGAGAATGACTTAGTCATTCGGTGATACGATTGTCCTGCTAGTTTTCAGTTGTGGGTCTTTTATAGATAATTTCAACCTCACATTTCACAGTATTAGGCAGTCATACTGATTACTAAGCGAATTCATCTATGTTGGTAGGCGCTTGAGTATACACTAGATGGGATACCATAGTATGAGCAATATTTCCATCACAAAACGATTTTTGCTAGGATAATTTCAGCATTGGCATCATTGGTTTTGTTTGTTCGCATCGGAGTTAACTTCTTAGACGTTCGAACACCCATAATGCTTGAATCTGGCAGAATCTAACCTAATGGTTGGTGAGAATCAATACCGATTCCATTCAAGGTTGTCATTAATTTCGAGATACCGCTGGTCAACAAAAACTGACAAACAGCTTTAGTGTTCAAGCAATTGAGGTTTGTGATGGTGAAGATGGCACATGTATTCAGTGTTTAACAACGTTTTTATCAGTAACACCTAATATAACTCGTACCCACCAAGAGAAATCAAAAGACAGAATCGAGGAGATCAGAAGTTGTATTTGACGATTGTCAATATGTCGGAATTGTCTGATCTAGTCTGGCTAGCGATTGCAGTAGCTGTTGAGCACGGCGTTGCCACACGTGATCTGGTGCGGATGCATGACCGAGCGCCTTCAGCTAGGTGAGTTCATTAAAACATGTGGCCACCATCCAATGTCGAAAACTTACAGAGCTATTTATTTTGGGGATTTATTTACCACTACAATGGTTATGGATAAATTTGTACCCTGTGTAAATGCAAGTTTTTAACAGCTTAGGTTGATTAGATAACGGTTCGCCGCAAAGATCTTCGTTATGCCAGGACATTACAGATCAATTATTCGTTTACCTCCTTATTTTGTATAGGCATTATATTTCCTATTGTTTTACATGAGATGCTGAAAAACTCAGTGTAATTGAAAAAGATAACCCCGCTGTCCAACTGTTGAAATAAACTGAAAGATAAACCAAAAAAGCGGCTGCAAGTGATCGGGATATACATGTAGCAGTTCCAGATATGTTTGGTTTGTAGCATGGTGTTGAGTCAAAATTGACTATAAACGCCACTACAAGGAAACGCGTACTAAACAAATCAGAAGGCGAAGGTTGAGCGTAACCAGATTTATTTCGTTGGCGATCTCGTGGTATCGAACGAATACCAAGATCGTGCCAAGGAATGGTACGAGCGAAAGCAGGAGAACGGAGTACGTGCGAACAAAGCCGAAAACCGCGGAACAATGATGGAAGGTAATGGAAGCACAAAATGGCTGTAATTAGCACAGTTAAACAAAAGCACATTAAAACAAGCACTGGTACAGTTGGTTATGATAATAATTGTTTTCATTTAACCAGTCGTGTTCTCGTGATAAAAGTGAGTCACTACAGGTTTAACTATTAACGTGCCTAAACTCAAAATCCAAGTGAACATTTTTTAAGAGATAAAAAAGGTAGGATTATCATATTGAAGAATGATTTAGCATAGAGATCTTTTAACAAGTTACACTAAAATGCATAGTAATAACAATTGATTAAGAGCTTGACTTGTGAGCAGTATAAGTATTTCGTGCTTATAAATATAAAGGCAGTCAGTATTGTAAGGATTTTGTTGTAAGTATTATCGTGAGTTTAAATTAGAAACTCAGTTAACCTTTATGTTAGTATGGTGTCTGTGTGAGTTTATTTCTATTTGCATCTGTATTAATAAGCTAACTGAATTAACAGAAGTCTGACAGCGGAGAGGAAGGATTCCCAATAGTGTTCCAGTTAGTTTGATAAATTTAATACGATTTATTTAGTTACAGGGAGATTTCCTTGACCTCAGTATGATTAACCCTGATAATATTTAGTAATACTACTGATGTACATTAACTATTATCGAAAATTCATTGAGTGCATGAAAATAGTGATGATTTTGTGAACTTCTGACAGATAGCTGACACTAGTTTGCTGAACATGAGTGCATCTGCAAGAGACATGCTTTAGACTCAATAATTTCATGTGAAATAAACTGATCATTCATATTCATACCTATTGATTGATGATGTATACAAGGCAGTTCGAAGTGTCAAGTTTAAGATAATATACAGATCGATTTGTATGAAATTGGGTGGTTGAAATGTGGTGGAATCGATCAAGCTTATGACCTACTAATATATGCAACATGGTGTCGTACGATTTTTTCGGCTAAATCAATCTGTATAAGATTATAAATAGTGAGTGCTGCTTATAAAATTATCAGGAAGAGCATAAGTTGTAACCAAATATTTCAGAATATTATACGACACTTGAGTTCCAACACAAGCGTAAAAAGTGCTAGGAATACAACTGTTTACTGAATATAAAAAAGTAGTGTAAAACAATACGCAAAAGAGTTGAAGGGATGTGAATAAGGACAGAACATAAAACAGACTTAACACTATTCATCTACCTAAGTCTTTGTATTGAAAGATTAGATTTAAACTGGTGGGTAGCAATGTTCTCTGTAGTGCATGAGTTTTTCATTTTCATTCTTTTTGAGCCGACTCTTCAGACTGTACATATGATTTTGAAGAAAACTTCTGGTGGTGTTTAGCATAAAAACTGTCAGCATAGAGATGGGGTCACTAATCGACCCACTCCTAGCTTACTATTTGATTGTTAATTTCGAAAACACCATACTGAGACCAAAAATCGACAGCTTCTATCAATGCAAGGGATATTCGGAAGACACTTTCATTATTTGTGGTAAAAAGTCAGTCACAATGCGTGCGAAAGCAGTCCGTCCTTCTTCCATGATCTTAGCTTCCCTTTCTATCTTCTATAATCTATCGCTTTTTATCTTGTTTTGTTATTTCTACACCCTACAAACTACTAATTAGCAACTATTAAAACTTTTAATTATTCTGTTCGTAATAGCTATCAAGTGGAGAATTATCTTCACCTTTCCACTTTTTCACTAGCCGGTTATTACATAACTTCCTTTCAAACTCTGATTTTAAATTCAAGACAAGATACCCCCTTCAAGTTTTTTAAACATTTAGCACCATTATATCCTACTATAGACTACTATTTTAGAAAACAAAATTAGCTATAAATACGATTGTACAGCTTAAGTAAATGAAATTGTCGAGAATAAAATTTTCTTTGTTGAAATGCCTATTCTTCTTTCAGAGCTGTTCAGAAGACTCGATGTAGATTGAGTATGTTTTATTCAGCAAATCTTGTCCTATATGCTTTGTTCAAAAGCATCGAAAGCACCGGATGTATGAGATTACTGATTACTAATGGTAGGAGTTTGATGAATATCTCGCTATGCCTCATCTTTTATCAATCAATACCTCTATTATAGAACATCGAAAATCCGTACTGCATTTCCAAGATTATCTTTCAAAGTCATCCACGTGGTCAAGCAGATAGATCGATAAGAATACAAATTAAGAACGCATGCATCACTTGTTCAAGTTCAAACTCTGTGTATATAAGTGTATAGCTCATCTCCGATCTTACTGTGTTCTTAAACCTCTTTCTGCTTCCAAATTTAATGATCAATTGTTATTGTTCTCTTATAGTTTGCCTGATTACCAATTACCTGTTATTACATTTTATTTCTATTTTCTTTGTCATTTTTATATTTGCCAACCGTATAATTATTTTTTATTTGTGAACTATCTTCATCTTATTATTTTTCATTAACCTTTGGATTACAATACACCCTACTTTTAATATTCGATATCTTCAAACAGTCTGATAACGCGATCCTATATTATGTTCTAATACACTACCATGAATGTTAAAAAAATATAAGAACAGCTGTACAACTGAAGTAAATTATCATCATAAAAAATTTCTCTCTATGAAATCTTTTTACCAAAAAATAAAAATAAAGATCACTTTGTGAATTTATTTGTTTCCCAGTAGAAGTACATATATAGTACCACTATAAAGTACCAAAATATTTATTCTATTCCTCCTGAAGTAAAGCTTTCGATCGGAAATTACATAAGAAGCAACATATAACGGTGTCTTCACAATAGGCTGATCGACAACATACAGGACATTTGACAAGCTGAATATAAAAAGAAAATGAATAATCACTTAATTTAATTTATACATTAACAGCTTAAGATATATATGGATATTTTAAATAAACAACTACCTTCTTAACTCCATCAGCGAATAAAGTTTATTACAATGAATACTTCCCATCTATTAATAAAATATGATTTAACGGTCATCTTTTTACATTTAAAAACTTAACACTATTTCTATTCCTTGCATACAGTTCACAAATACTATATGACGACAAAATTTGTGGAATTTTATTAGATCAGTTGACTCAGGTTTCATTAGCTAGTATATTTATCACTGAATATTCTTCGTTTTATTTATGTTCATGGCGTACCCTATTGATGGGTCAACTAGCGATTTCTTTATGAAATTCTAACTAATAGCCATATATGGTAACCATATTTTTAGTAAGAAAGTACATGTAATCAGTTCATAAGTTTGAACGTATGTAGCATACCAGAAGGTACTGCAAGACTCCATGCGAAGTACCATAAACATACATATATCATGATTACTCCCCGTCTTTTACTCGAAGTATCAAGACTGATCCATGAAATGAGTAATCTTACAGAGTTCTTTCTGTCTAAACAGAACAAGAACAACAACATTTGAAGAACAAAGTGAATTCATTTTTTTTCACAGTTTCTCATCACCTAAAAACTAAAATTACGATTATTAATATAGTTCTTAACAGATGTTTGGCATACATTTATTAAACGTAACCAAAATCATAACAATAGTGATAAAAATGGAAATACAAGTTATGCGAACAAAAATAGTTAAGATCGAGGTATATTTATGTTGGGAAGCAATAATTCAGAAGTTATGTAAAAGTATGAAATTAATGAGTGGTCAGGTAATCGCTAAACATGATAAAATAAACAAATATGTGTTGTATTGTTTGAAGTTAGAAGCGTGCGTGACTGAGGGTCCTGGGTTCTAATCTCGTGTGCAGGATCGTGGATGCGCACTGCTGAGAGGTTTCATACTAGAACGAAACGGCCGTCCAGTGCCTCCAGATGCTCAGTGGTAGTCTAACACTGATCGACTCATGATGTCAATCAGAAAATATGTGAACGTCAATCAGATAATGTAAGAGGTGAATATCAGAAGACGAAATAAGAACAAGGTAAATATTGGGGACAGGAAAAAAGACTAAAAGTTGAAATTAATAAATATTATTAGGTGAACCCTCGACCACCATGCCAGAGAAAGGCTAACCAAACTTTTCTTCTGTATACATGGGCCGGACCAGGGACGTTTGATAACGATTGCCTCTGCCAAACGGAGTGAGATTGATATTTTCTTTAGCAGTTGATTATTTTGAAAGCATTATTTACATATACTTTATATCCACTGTTTAAAAGATGTCTGACAATCGCTTGTGCAAACGCCTTACCTTTCAGAGACAACAGCCTCTATAAGGCTTTCTGAATACATTCCTAGAAACCTTCAGCTGAAAGTATGCGAAACGTTTGTTAATTATTACAATTATACCAATAATTTTAATTTTAGGTCGTATGAAGGTGATGAGAAACTATGAAATAGAATGAATCCATTTTATTCACCAAACCCTGTTGTTCTTGCTCTTTTTAAATTTATCGAAGGATCTAGTTGTATGAAGTTCTTTCTATCTGTTAACATATTTTCTACATTCCCCTCATGCTTTGATTGTTCTACGCTCAGTAAAATACAGAAAAGCATGTTAGAAGTACAATATTACTAGTTGAACTGACAGTTAACTGTATTCACTAAACTACATCACATTATTAGAATAACTTTGAACATATACAAATATTTCACTCAAACATAAAACACTTCACTTACTGGTACAGTCGATTTCATTCGACCAGGCCGTCCAAGACATATTTGACATAGTAATAAGTCCGTAAAATCATGAGTCTAAAAAACAATTTATACATAAGTTACTGATGAGATGAACCGGAAATGCATATTTTTTCATCTATTATTTTTTTCACACGTCAAGAATTTAAAAACTTGATTCTTCAAGCAATTGATAACGATGATATTATAATTTATGGACGAACCAGTTACATATAAGATAACAGGTCATGGGTTTGGGAGCGAAATTCATTTATCCACTTGGCTAAGTAACGTTTTGGCATTTTAGATGATGTCAGTTCGTGATGAAAACCCTAAATCTAATTGCTAACACCTGCCATCAACTGTAAATCATAATTCTGATTCCTTACACTGCTTTATAACCCTCATTTGGTCCTAGTTATCAGGTCACTTTAGCGTCGCTCAAAAGTCGGCCATAAATTATAGTCTCACCATAATAGTTCTTATAAATTTATTTAAAATATATGTTGATTCATACAAACCATAACTAAATGAATTTTGTAAGAAAATACAGACAGTCTTATCATTTAAAATCGTTAAACTTCTAGTTTAAATCAAAAATAACAGTCGACATTTAAAAAAAACGTTTACATTTTAAGTCAGATTGTGACTATGTACCCTAGCTTTAACTAATAGTACTCTCATTTAAATGAAATAACGGATCAAAAACTCAATGAATTCGATAACTTTAACCATTCCATAATACTGTACCACCATCTCCCATTGTCTTGTGTGTGTAACTGCCTTAATCCCGACACGGTCGAACTTCAATAGCCAAGGCTTCTCACTAGAGCTCTGTGAATTACTTCTCAAAGCTGGTCACTAATGAGCACGAGACTGAAGGTCCTGCGTTCTAGTCTTGCGTGAGGAATCGTGGGTTTGCACTGCTAAGGAGTCCCATGTTGGAACAAAACGGGCTTTCAGTGCTTCCAGGCGCTCGATGGTGGTCTAACATTGATGACTTTATGATCTCAACTAAAACTCAACAATCTACACAACCCTATAGCGATATGTAGATAGATTTGGATGATAAAAATGTAGTTCTCAGTGAAATTAGCACTTATTTGTGGCACAGAAACAACAAATCAACGGAAAAACGCTCAAAAATTTTAGGTATGGCATATTGAACAGTGGAAAAGGAAAGTTATCGTCACACTTAACACTTGATTCATGTTTTCAAAAAAAGAAACGATTTTTGACTTGTATAGTGAAAAATCATTGAGGTTAAGCTGAGGAATTTATACAAAAGTGTAGTAATTCAGATCATTCATCTACCTACGTAAGAAGTGTGAAACTAGACAAATCATGTGACCGACGAGTTGTTCTAAGCTTATTGAGTATTTTGTTGATATTCACATACTTGACTTTGTTGACTCCTTTAACAACAATGTACAGATTCTCGTACAGTCAATAATTAGCACTTACTCAAGGATCATCTTATTATGGTTTTCCCTCTATCTATATTTTCTTTTCTGTGTATCCGTATATTTTATCCATTACTCGCTTTTCATATATATACAACCGAATCAAATAAAATAATAAACGATCTGGACATTTTCATTATCTTGAACGGTTATCTGCTCATCTTTGAATACTTGAAACGCATTCTTCCAGCACGTTTCAAATTTGGTCTTTAATGCCACAGTTGCATAATAGTTATCCGAGTCATTATATATGGAAGTGAGTGGAGAATTATATCTAACTGGAGTAAACTGAGAGCACAAATGTAATGGTTTCTAGCATATAGTGATATAAAAAACCACTTTGATTCAGAAAATTTCAGACTGGTAAACCTGAAAGTTTCACGACCTGAGGGATATTTTTAGATATATGACGTTTTATACATGTTATCATTCAAAATATATACACAGCAAAATAGTATACATAAACAGTCCTAATAAAATAACACATAAAACCATATCTAATGCGACAATTGAATATACATGAATGGGAATTTACATTACCAAATTATCTTGACTAACTAAAATAAAACTTAGTTCATTAATGCATTATATTCAAATTAATCTACAAAAGTTGGATTAATAAATTAAACTACTTCATAAAAACATTCTTTAAAGTAAATAATAAATCTGTTTTGTGATATCCCAATGAATAGAAAATTGTTCTTCTGATGTTTTGTGACTTAATGTAAGTCACTTCTTGTAAATAAATAAATTACCGAAATAAAATTAACACAAGTTTAAACAGTATAAAGGAAACAATACTGTTAGTAAAATCAAAATCATAACAGGCTTGAAAATGTTAATGCCAAGTTATTCTGATCAAGGTGATTTTGTATGACATATCACTGTATTAATTTGTGAACAAAAAGGTGGGTGTGGATAATGTATACATTTGTATTGTGAAGTAGTGAGGCTGAAGTTGAGTGTATGTGTGTGTAGATTGTTTGGAAAGTGTATACGGTCAAATGTGGTTGTTTGGACAAACAGTCCATGTCGGATGAATAGTCAGGCCTGCTTTCCTACTGTGAGAAGGATTTAGCATTATATGAACCGCTTCGGCTATTCGCTCCTCTTTATAGTTGGGAAAATCTTTTTAAATTATTTTGATATTTCTAATACCAATTTGGTGATTATTTAAAATAACATGTGCTGCTATTGCTGAATAAAATAATAGATTTTCCAATTCTACAGGATTATTAGGAGGTAATTTTATGTGGCTTACGTGTTTCTGGGTACGAGTCGAGATCTCACGGGAAGACTGTCCAATATATAACATATCACGATCGACACAACCTAATCTGTAGGCACAATTTTGTCTAGGAGTAAATGGGATCTTATCTTTTATTTTAACTAAAGTGTTTCTTAGGGCGTTAGTTGTCACATAGAAAGCTTTGACTTTGTAGGTTTTCAAGATCCGTTTTAATTCCTCTGTCGTACCCTGGCGGAGAGGTAAAACTACGGTAACAATCCAAGATCTTTCATTAGAATTGTTGTTTTTGATAATAGTCTTAGGAAAATTATTAAAGCGTAGGATTAAGATTAGATAGTTCTGTTGTCCCATGTTGTCAATAAATTAAAAGGAACAAATTAACCTTAAATAATTTAAACAATTAGACTTAGCTTATTAAAGGATTTTAATCAAATTCCAATCTTCTTACACAGTAATGTTTAAAGGCTTTGAACGAATCATAAATTAGACAGTCGACAGTGTAAGCTGGTCATCGGTTGTTCAGAAAAAAATATAGTAAAACTAACATCTCCAATACAATAAAGGAATCAGACACATAAAATCACTATTTATGTTTATTGTGTGAACTTACTTTACGCTGGGGGCAAATACCATTAAGGCAGGCATCAATGGAAGTTACTCTACAACAGTTGCATAAATCAGCAACTGATAAACAACATGGGCAACAAGCAAAAGGTTGAAGCTGATTAACAGACGGTTTGACATTTGGCGTACGGTTCGCTAATATAGATTTTACAATTGCATAAATTATACCGATAATTAACAAATAACCAAAACCGCATAGAAGTAGTAATAATGAGAATGGTATTGGTAAATCATATATGAAATTTTGAAAAACTGTTGAACCTTTACGACTGGTTAATTCAGCTTCGGCTACATCATCTGGGACTTGAAATACATCCAACTGTAAATAAGTTAATATAAATTACTAAACAAGGCTATAATGAATAAATGAAAAGCTATGTATTTTGTTCATTACAAAAATAAATGTAAGTTATTTTTATTGATGGAGAAGTTTGAAATATAACTAGCGTGCCAGTGGTTTTTAATGATAACTATATTTAAATAGTAATATTTATCTACTTGTGGTCTTAAGAGTAAAAGAATTCTAGTCAATCTAAATAAAAAAACTGAATGGTATAGCTTATAAGTGATGAATGTTTCTTATCTTTGAATCAAGAATGCATAACCATCGTAGCAGAGTAATATGAACCCATCTATTTCACCCGTACTCTTTACCTGTTTACAACCTATGAACAGTAGTATTAACCATTAGAAACGAAACATATATGGATACTTTATGAGTTAGATATGTAGATATAGAGTAATGTGAGAAAATAATAACGGAAGGATTAGAAATTGTCTAAACCTTTGCCTATTTACAGTTTAAATATGTAATATTCTAGAAGGGTAAACTGAGAAAGGGATATGGACAGAATTTTTTTTACAAATCTATGATTTATGTCATCGGCCATGAAATACCTAAAATAAAATACATAAACTAGCTGAGCACACCTAAAAAGCAAAAATCAAAAACCATAAATTACAATTAAGATCATAGAAAAAGTGTTGTGTAACAATTTCATGAAAACGAGGTCATCAACGAAAAACGAGATTGATAACTATCTTGTTGGATTCATAAACTTTGTTTAAACTTTTTATTGCAACAAACTCGGCAAAGTTCAATAAATTCGAAATGCCTTTTTTATTATCTTGAAAATTTTTGAAACCCCAACATCATCTCTACTATCGGACAAATAACTACCAACCGCACTGTTGAAAAACTGCCCCCCTTTTAGTATTACATTTTGTGTAAAGTGCTAGAAAATGTGTACACTGAATCTCCATTCTGTTCTTTTAATATATTAGACAGCTGGATACAAAATTAGGAGGGAATTCGTTTACACCCAACTTTCCGAATGTTTCTTTTTGTCTGGTATAGAGGGACCATCTTACCCACTGGGTAAGTTCATTTTTGTATTGTCTTTAATTCGAAATCAATTTTTCTAGCCACCTCATCACCTTCGTAACCACGTTTTATGGACAGGCTTTTCCTCAACTTTAGCAAATGCCATTTCCATTTTTCTAGCCTTTCTATAACGAGCTATGAATTTTTACAGATAACCATTATTATACTAAGAACGTTCATTCTAAATAACTAATTCGCCTTCCTGTTCTCTGAACGCAATCTATGTATGCGGTTGAAACAGCTCTGAATAAAGTTCTTTTATAGATTATTGAACAGAAGCTACTGAAGTTGAAGCATAACTATGATCATTAGAGTATTTGAATTATAGTATGAACTAAGAATCCCAGAAATAACGTAACCAGATCGAGAAGTACTAGATAGGCACAAACGAATGTACTGTGTTTAGAATTCGAAATCAAGTATTCAACAAGTACAAAGGAATAATTATTTCATTCAAACACCACAATAACCGGCTCCACATTTTATTTAGATAAATATATCTTTCCAGTAGGCTATTTGAATTGTGATTTATACCAAGATCCAGAAAATAAAACGTTTCATTGATGTTCCGTTACAAACTTAATATTGGAGTGTTCTCTACTAGAAAATTATAGCCCATGAGAAGCATCTTGATGATCATTACAGGTAATTAATGTATCATCAACATACCTGACATACACCATTGTGTCGTTAAATACCGACATATAATTTGTAAGGTTTATTCTAGTGGCATCGTGGTAAGTTAATAAAATATATCAAATAGAACCACAAATTTATCAAAATTTTCTAGCTTATGAGTATATTGAAAGGTATCTTCCAAACTATGGACAGATAACTTAGGACGGTTCGGCCTTAAATAATTGATTATGCATTTTGTAAGTTTGTGAGAATTAGTTACATTATCAAGTAATTTTGTGTAGTATATATCTTGTTGCTTACACAGTACGGGGTTCTTAATACAAATAAAATTAGACTACAAAATATGTCCTATCATCACTATTAATATGTAAAGATGACGTTTTAGATGATAACTGAATGTGAAAACCGAAAGATAAATTCATTTATATTCGAAAATTGTCAACCATATGCACCGGAATTTTAATTTCAATGTTCAAGATGATATTGAAAGAGCCAATCGTTTTAAATATCACGATAACCAACAACAGGTATGATATTTAGGACTAAAATTAATGGTTTATATTGTCTCATCGTTGATTATCAGAACTAAACTTGATCAAACCATCCTAGTACAACGTTTCTAAGTGTTGCTCCTATGAAAAAGTTAATTGAATTTTGGATAATAAATCAGAAGAATAAGAAATCTTATTTTGCAATTCGAATAGCAGAAAAAAGAAAAATATAAACACTTAGTTCCTTTTCTATTTCAGGTATAATTTAAGAACGACTATTTGTTATATTTACCAATTAAAACAGATGTATAACATTAAATAAGAAAGATTAGTTCAGCAAAAAGTTCTATTTTCGGCGAATTCATTTTCAAAGCTGTACAACAGAAGTTTATTATCAGCATTATTATCATCCTGTAAAATAAGTATATATATACATTTGCAATTTTACAGCTTTGAAAATGAATTCGCCGAAAAGAGAACTCTTCGCTGAACTAATCTTTCTTATTTAGATGTATAACAACATAATTAAAAAATTTGTTAGATCGATGAAAATTTCCCTTAAAGACAAAAATAAAACAAAGTTCATCACAGCAGAAAGCAAACTGTATTGTGTTTGAAACATAACTACTTTCTTTTCAGAACTAAAGTGAACTAAAATATTTTAGTGAATAACTATTACTAGTTGTAGGTCATTCATACCACATAGGGATGGATGAAACCAATAACACTATATAAAGGTAGGTTCAACTTAGACTATAAATACACTTTTACTCATAGGCAGTAAAAAATAGTTCTTTTACCGTTGATACTTATTTCGTATAAACTAAGTTAATGATCGGAAGTGAATTATTTGCTCAATATTGTATTCAACCAATCAAACTGTGGTGTTAACAGGGTTTTTGCCGTAAACCACTAATTGTTGCTTTTGACAAGAAAGTGTCACCGAATACCGAGATATACAACCGAAATAGCCGGACAGTGGTTTAATACTGTTTAGTAAACAACACACATCCTGTACATCAATATTCTAATGTCCAGTCTATACGATAATTCCTTTAGTTGTACAAATATCCCCCCCTACCTTTCTATTCCTCTTGTGTATCCTACAGTTCTAAAAAATGTATTTGCCCTAAACGATTTGCCTATTTTCGAAATATAATGCCCCATTTATTTTCGTTGCTTGTTGATACTTTCAATGATATCAACGTGTTCTGTTATATAATTTGCTGTATGTTGCATAGGTCTGCTATGATTTAACTGGCTGAAGGATTTACTTTCCTCGCAAAAGTGTTTTGGAAGAAGCCACTGGAGTTAGAGCACTTTATTGTTCTAATTATATTAATTTTTCCATATTTATTTTGTTTCTCATACGTGTAGTGTATGTTAGACAAATATCGTCTCTTGATTTCAATGTCTTTAGGTATCATTAAGTTATTGGTTCCATATTTTTGATAAGGTTCTGAAATTTGCAGCCTAACATAACAATTGAGATGTGAAGTCGAAAATGGCTGTTTCCTGATTGATTACTACAAATGAACTCAACTAAAAGGCCCTTTGTATTTTACCAGGTAGATTAAAAAATTGATGTTTGCCACCAAATAACTTTAAACTATTTAAGAATAACATTTACAAGCTCTGACAGATTTAACTTGATTCAAACATAATGAAACATCAATTAAAAGGTTATTTGATTATACCATTTTTCAAAATTGACTCTACTTGAATGAACATTAAAGTGTAAGTCTTAAGCATACCGTCAAACTTTTAACATACATAAACAGTTTTATGATATAACAACAGCTAAATCGAATAGTGGTAAAGACGTTTTTTGATTCGTACATGACTGTTTATTTGCCATTCGGTACGTTTTGTATTTTATGTTCTATTTGAACACATTTAACCGTTTATAAACTCTAATCACGAATTTTTAAACTTTGTGACCAATTTGTCAAGTATCTGTTGAAGCTCTATCCCATATTACCGTATAGAGAGATATTGTAAACAACATCTATTATTATTCTTAGCATCTATATAAAGTATTATTATTTATTTGATAGAATCCAGATTATTTATTACAATACACATAAAGAATATTGGTTTGAAATGACTGTAGAGAAGAATTGTGAAAAAAGTTGGCAGACTTATAACATTTCATTTTTAATAAAGATAAGGACTGATTTTGGCACAGCAAGTTGTCTCACCAAGATATAAAGGCTCAAAACTCAATCTAAAGGCCGGCAACCTAGACCGGAGACTAATTTATAGCTGTTACGGGTATGAGGGCTGATATCACTTCCCGGCTGCCCACACCGTGGAAGGGTATTTCTTGAAGAACCTGAAGAGGAAATTGGATTAGTGTTGGTCTTAACGACCTGGGAGCGTGACCGCAGAGCCCAAGGGACAACTGCTTGAGGCCGGTCGCGCACGGCCTTTTTGTGGAAGGTTTTTGACGTGTTAGCTCCGTTCTTCAAAGGGCCTTACCGCCGGAGAAGGAAATCCGTGAGGTAAGGTGAGGTGTGACATTTTTAGAGTCGACCTTTTCTAACCCCACCTCTCCTTGTGGGAAGGCAGCATCGCTGTCATGCTGGTTGTCCGAGGGAAACACCTTACTGCTGTCACACCCCTCTACAGTCAGCAGTACGACTTCGCCCTCAGCCCTTGAGTTGCTGCTTTTAGTCTCACCGTTCACCAATCGACCTGCCTGGCATGGTAGAACCTGCAGGAACATATGTTCCAGCCAATATAGCTCGGTTGGGTCATCACGATAGGCAAGCCCGACCACCGCGTCAAGGTAGCAGCTTTGATCGGGCTAATTTATAGCTATGTCCCCTCATTCAGGATACCGAAACAGTGGTCACCGACGACTAAAGAGAGTAGTGCATTTGAAAGTATATTAGGAAGTAATTAAATTTGGCAGGAAAGTATTCTACGACTAATGAATTAACTGAGTCATCAGTATCATCATGGAATATTATGTAAATTATTAAACAGTATCTAACAATAAATAAAAAAGGGATTTGTCTGAGTGCATGCACAAGTGATTTCAAACTGTAATCCTAATAAATCACTCTTGTGTGTTCCGAAGAAAGTATTGTTCTTAAAATTACAATTCCTAAATGATACTACTGAAGAAATTGTGGCTCACAGGTTAAGAAATGCGGTAAAAAAAACATTTAATGCAATCAGACTGAGTGCCATCTTCTACAACCGCCCCATAATAAGAACGGCTAATAAAGACAAATTGCTTAAATTCGCCACATCCGTGTGCACTTATCGATTCAACTGCTCCTGTGGAGCCAGTTATATAGGGCGTACAATTCGGCAAGTCCGTCATCGTATAACAGAACACCATCCGTCGTCGTTGAGCAAAGGACAGGTAAGTGTGATTAAGAGTTCCATTCTCGCTCACTTGGTGGACAAAGGTCATCAAGTTGAATTGAGTGATGATTTTAAGGTTATCCACCATATTCCATCAAGTTTGCCAGATGGCTTACGAGTGCGTCTTTTGAACATTGCTGAAGCCATCGTAATCCATGTTCACAAACCTAACCCTTGCATCCAAAAGAAGTTTGTACAACCACTCTCGCTACCTTGGCCACCGGTATAGGGGAATTTGTAGCAGAATTTTGATAAACTGTTTTCGTATTTATTCCACTTTTTATATTTTACTTATTCATAATATTAGTCTCTTGATTCTTACGTAACTACTATACTACTGAACATTCATAAAAATATTTTGTTAGTTCCTTCTATTTTTTGTATATTATGCAACGTAGCAACTGCTTGATTTTCAAACAATTATTTTGATCATTATTAATCCTCTTTCTTCCGGTTACTCAATGTTAATTTATAATCGATATGTCATTATATAATTATTACGTAAGGTATCCACTCGATGAGTATTGCTTCATTATTGTAAACATATATATTTAGTGTAGAGTCATGATGAAAAACTGATTGAACAGAAGTTTCTTCGCTCGATTCGTTCAATCTTGTATGCGTCTCAAGTATTCAAAATAGACATTAATGTCCATCTGATATTATGCAAAGGAACCATTGACTTTAAATACAGAAACTTAAAAATATGAAGCATCTAGATTTTGCGAGCATTATTTATGGCCCTAGAATGATAACTAGTATTTATTTGTTTTAACCATCATTGTCATAGGCTGCTGTATCACTTGCAAGTAACATCTGCAGCGGTAGATATATCCCTAAATTAAATAGTTATGTACGTTTTTGACATTGATGCTAACCTCATAAGTTTTACTGGACACACCTACATGAAGGGCACGCATCCGCCACAAACCACGAGTGGGTAAGCCGTGCTATGCATCTCTTACAACAACTAACCAGCTTAGATCAAACGCTTCCCGATATATCGATAGTCTTCCAAATATACCTTTGAACCACTTTATTTCCGACTTCTGATTTCACTGGGTTGGTATATTTCGACTGTAAAGGTGTTATATGTAAATGCATTGTCAAAACCACGATACCTGTGGCATCTTTAGGTCTACTAGACATAGTAACATAAAATTTGCTTTGGTGACGTTGTAATACAATCATTGTAAACCAGAGTAGCTAAATGCAGCAGATTCATGATCTCCTTCTATTATTTACTCAGGTGAACACTCCTTTATCAGCGGCTTGAAGCTGTTATGTAGCAACTTTCACTTGCAGTTTGATGTTCAGGAATAAGAGCAGCAACGTTTAAAGCACTCATCAGGATCTTAACCCTGTAAAATGTCATCGTAAAGAAACAAAGACACGACTGCACGCATACTGTCAATATCTTACTGAAGTGACATGTAGCTGTAAATAATGTCGAGAGTATAATTTATAGACGAACCTATCAGATTTACCACAAAAGGTCGTGAATTTTGTAGCGAAATTAATTAATTCACTTGTTGTTAGTTTGTTACCAAATATCAGATATGCATATCTGGTTCCTAAACCTAACTATCGACTGTAAATATTAATCCTAATTCCTCACACTGAATTATAACCCTTATTTAGCCGTAGCATATAGGTGGACATTCTCAAGGTCTTTAGCGTCGATCAAAAGTCGTCCATAAATTATAGTCCACCTATTTTCCTATTAATTTACAAATAGTATGCAATGGCTGCATAGGTCATATTAAATTTGCTTCAAAAATCTATAAAAAATGGTGTGTAGCTCATTTTAACAATAAGTATGAACTTACAGGAATTGGCATGCTAACTGTAATGAGCAACTCTATCAGTTGGCTGGAATAGACGTTGGGGTAAATCCCCCGATGAAATGTAAGTATATCCTTAGCTCAATTGGCTCTAGACTAATTGCAGCTGCTCAAATAAAAGTACAGATCTAACCAATCAACCGAATAATAACTCCAAACCAAAGGTCGTTTCTTATTGCGTTGCTAACGGCACTTAAATTGCCTCCAAAATTTGTTAATTAGTAGTCAGTTGTAAAAACAAAGTGTACTCTGTAATTCTTCAGAGCAAGGAAAGCTGGCTATATTCTATACCTAATGATCGAATCTCTTGATTTTTGATTTACTTCTGTCAAGTCCAAGAGGAAATTATCCCTGGAGTAATCCGGAGTATATAAATGAGCTTTAAACTGAGGGATTATTAGTACATGTCAGCCGAAGACATGTATGATTTTGCAATTGCTCAGCGCCACCACGCTTGCTAAAGAGCCGGATATATTCACTGGTGTTTCTTGAAACTCTTGATTGAATGTATCTTCACAACGGCCGGCAGACGACAACTCAAATGGCTAGAGACACCGAAACACTAAATTAAAACATCTTATAACTGCTGTATTCATAGCATTTTTCTCTAGCTGTAGAGTATAAGAGCTGGAGTACAATCTAACTGTAGTCTTTGGCGATAAACATAGTGTCCACGTTTATCAATTGCTTTACCGTACTGATGTAGTGTCAAATAAAATGTACAGGTACAGCGCACTTGCCCTTTTCAACACTACTGACGCTACGAACAGATTATTGTGTTTCAATTTTCCACTGGTTCCCACCGCATCATTGGTAAACATGTCAATATCTCATTCTAGGAATTCGAAAAGCGGTACTAACCATTGTATTATTCAAAACATTAGAGAGTGGCTACAAACACATTCTGACAATTATGTAGGATCACAGCAAAACCAGCAAAAAATCCCGGCAGACATATACAAGCAAGTTTCTGATATGACAGAACAATTACTTCACAGTTCAGCTAAAACTCTAAGTGAAAATGAAATTAGGACAATTTGTTAAACGTCACAGAATTACAGTAATATGGTGATAAAGCTGAAAATCACTCGCTCTAATTAAACGGACAGTAGCATTTTTCCTCGCTGAGTAAATTCTATTGTTTTGATCGTTTATTACGCATCAAGACTACTGTTTCCACTTTAATTGAATTTATTTCAGTTAAAGTATTCGATTAGTGTATCGTTTCTGTTTCGAAAGTAGTTTGTCGTCGGTACTTTTGAGTACTTTGTTTTCTATTGCATCTGTTAATGTTATTGGTTCTAACAATCCACAGTTTTCCACTGTTTTTGTTCATCGATCACCTTTGTCTCTGAGTATTATTGCACCTAGTTTTTTTAAAAAAGACCCCTGTTTATTAACTGGACAGTGAAAAAAAAGCAATTGATAACTTCCGAGCTGTGAAAGCGACATGCAGTGCGATGAGTGCAAAAGCTGTTACCACAAAATTTGCACGAGTTTAACGCCTGTGGATTTCAAACGGTTCAGCAAAAACGGTTGCGTATGGCTTTGTCAACAGTGCTGTTCGGATGCAAACACCTTGCTAACTGAGGCCATCTCTTTGTTGAATGCTACAAGAAAGTGTTTTGTCAAGTGTGGTCGGAACACATCTGATAGTACTCGCTCTGTCGACACGCAAATTGGTGTGAAGCAAACTCAGGTGAGTCCGAAAACAGTGACTCACACCGACCAAAGGAGGAAAAACAGTCTTCAAAGAGGTCTGTCTTAAATAAAAACTCAAGGAAAGAAGTTTCTTCTGTCCCCAGTCGTCTAAATGGTATCCGTCATGAAAGGCCTAGAAGCCGCAATCGCAAGGCTCGATCGGTTTCTAGCGGGAAACATAACCTAACCTCCTATGTCGTCGACAAACCTTTGGAACCCCGCAGTATGTTTTGCGTGACTGTGGTTTCTTCTGCAAGAAAGGTTGAGGAATGAGTACAAGTTGTAAGGAAGAAACAACATAACGACATAAAAGGGAATTCAACCCCCATAAAAGTAGTCGGGAAATCAAAAGCTGATCAGAGTGACAGATCAGCTATTTTTAGTAGGATCAAGAAGAGTGAAAGCTCTGAATCAAAACTCGTCTTGAGCATGACATTGTGTTGATAAAACAACTACTTAATCAACTCATGCCTCGAAATATCTCCGAAGTCACCTTGCTAAAGGTGTATAGACTAAACAGTCTAACGGACTTGAACCCTAATCAGTCCAGACTGCTTAAAGTAGTATTCAAATCTTCGAATGAACGCGACATAATTCTACAGGGTGGACATAAATTAAAGGGTTCAGGGGTTTTTATCCGTAAGGACTTGCCGTTGGTAGACCGTGTAAAAAGACGGGAAGCAGAAAAAGAACTACAACTTGGGTTAGACGGTGGCGAAAATGACCTAAAAGTTGTTAATTTTCGGGTTGTAAGGCTTCGACAGAGAATGATGCCGAAGCCACTCTGGGTGAAGCACGAAGCCACTTAAACAGGCTTCTGATCTGTTACACTAATGCTCTAAGCTTACTCAATAAGCGATCGGGACTAGGTGTGTAAATTGACTCTACAAAGCCAGACATAATCACAGTCACAGAAACCTGGCTGACGCAGTCTATAGATATTATGGAACTTGACTTCGAGGGTTTTACGTTAGTAAGGACCGACAGAATACAAAAGCGTAAAAAAAGAGGGGTAGCTCTATTCATTAGGAATGCTATCCCATTTGCCATTATTGACAGTGGATTCCATGAGAGTGGGATGTGTGAATGCAAGGGATAATAGCTGATGATTGGTTTGGTCTATCGCAGTCCAAGCTGTGAGGTAAATGAGGTCCTGCTAAGCAGTCTCAATACTTGGTCACAAAGTGGTCGATGTCTAATCCTAGGGGACTTCAATGCACCAATGGTAGACTGGGAAAATCTGCGAACTAAATCGTCAGAAAATTCCCTCGAGCAGGAGCTATTTGATGCTATTATCACATGTGCCCTAGTGCAAAATGTGAAAGAAGCGATTAGGTATGACCCGGACACTGAATCATCCTTACTAGATCTTATATTGACTCACTATGAGGATAACGTTGCGAACCTCCATTACATGCTACCCCTAGGTAAATGTGAACAAGCAGTTTTAACTTTTGACTTCCATATAACTGTCAATCTAGAGAACGCGTTAGCTCAATCCAGACCTAGCGTCTGGAAAGCAAACATACCAGACATCATGCATAAGCATCGTTAGTAGATTGGACAACAGACCCAGAGTCCTCAATTGAAACGGCTTGAGACGCATTTCGAAATCTATACTTCAAAGTTTTCGCACCCCACATCCCTTGGACTATAGCATGTGGTCCGAGAAACTCTCCACCATGGGTCAGTAGGGAGGTCCGCATCCTTCTCCATAAGAGGAGAAAAATGTGGGATAGACTTGGGTTACTGGGGACTGGTGAGATAAAATCTCAGTATCGAAAATCTCGGAATACCTGTGCCTCAACCCTCCGTACGTCTAGAAAGTTGTACGAAGAAAAAACTGTTAGGGAACAGATAGAATGTCCCAAACGACTGTACTTACTTACTGACTTACTTACGCCTGTTACTCCCAATGGAGCATAGGCCGCTGACCAGCATTCTCGAACCCACTCTGTCCTGGGCCTTCTTTTCTAGTTCCATCCAATTCTTGTTCATTTTTCGCATGTCTATCTCCAATTCTCGGCGTAATGTGTTCTTTGGTCTTCCTCTTTTCCTTTGGCCTTGAGGATTCCATGTGAGGGCTTGTCTTGTGACGCAGTTGGGTGCTTTCCACAATGTGTGTCCTATCCACTTCCAGCGCTTCTTCCTGATTTCTTTCTTCACTGGGATCTGGTTTGTTCTCTCCCACAGTACGTTGTTGCTAATAGTGTCCGGCCAACGGATCTGAAGTATTTTGCGTAGACAACTGTTAATAAACACCTGTATTTCCTGGATGATGGCTTTTGTAGTTCTCCAGGTTTCTGCCCCATACAGTAGAACTGTCTTAACATTTGTATTGAAAATCCTGACCTCGGTGTTGGTTGACAGTTGCTTTGAGCTCCAGATGTTCCTCAGTTGTAAATATGCTGCTCTTGCTTTGCCGATCCGCGCCTTCACACCTGCATCAGATCAATCGTGTTCATCATTGATGCTGCCCAAATACGTAAAGGTTTTTACATCTTCCAAATCTCTCCGTCAATTGTGATTGGATTGGTGCATTCTGTGTTGTGTCGGAGAATCCTGCTTTTCCCTTTGTGTATATTGAGACCTACTGCTGCTGAGGCTGCTGTCACACTGTGCGTTTTCTCCTGCATTTGTTGTTGTCTTTGGGATACAAAGGCCAGATCATCTGCGAAGTCTAGATCGTCCAACTGCATCCTAGATGTCCACTGTATCCCGCGCTTCCCTTCAGATGTTGACGTCTTCATGATCCAGTCGATCACCAGGAGAAAGAGAAAGGGTGAGGGTAAGTAACTTTACCTAACACTGGTCTTCACGCCTTTGTCAACTGTCCTCCATGCACATGTTTGCAGTGTAATCCATCATAGGAATTCTGTATGATATTGATCATCTTCTGAGGCACGCCGTAGTGTCGAAGAAGCTCCCATAGTGTTGTTCTGTCCACGATATCAAATGCCTTTTCGTAGTCAATGAAGTTGATGTAGAGTGATGAATTCCATTCAATTGATTGTTCCACAACGATCCGTAGAGTTGCGATTTGGTCTGTACACGATCTATCCTTACGGAATCCTGCCTGTTGGTCACGAAGTTGGGCGTCTACGCAGTCCTTCATCCTGTTTAACAATACCCTGTTGAAGACGTTTTCCGGTATTGAGAGAAGAGTGATGCCTCTGTAGTTATCACAGTTGCTGAGATCGCCTTTCTTCGGTATTTTGATTAGAAGTCCTTCTTTCCAGTCTGTTGGTACTTGTTCCTCATCCCAAATCTTATTGAAGAGAATGTGGAGTATCCCT